TTACCGGGTATTTCTCTTCGTTTCTGACGTACTTACTGGATTTAGAACTCTAGTGTACATAGTCAACGCGAACAAACCTAATAATTGCTTCGAGGCCGTTCGAGAATGAAAAACCAATCTGGACTGCTAAGTTTCAGTTTCCACTATCTCGGCGACGTTCTCAAAAAGTTTTAGTGCATGGACGTTGGACCGTGAAGTGGCGCTCCGCGGTTGACTTGCTTAACAGTGCTTAACAGAGACAGGTGCTAGCAGTTCATGGGTATATATATAGTCAAAGTTTCTACGCGATATAGACAATGCGGATGTAGTGAGCGATAACTGTTTGACGCTACTTCTATTAGATGTAATGAGGAACTAACCTGTAAACTATAACAAGAAGCAAAATGTCTTGGATTAAAAAAGGTTCTGTAATGAAGTATTTACAAGTCACACTCTATGGCTTCATTTGAACCTAAGAAGGTTATGTCCGGTATGTGTCGCCAATTCTTGACACTTAGTCAAGCATTCAGGATGATTCGCGGATTTGAATAAAGTATGGAAAATCTGAATAAAAAGGAGACCATCAATCTATTGGATTTGCTTTCGGAGAGTGATTCCGAGGCATCTGATTTAATCCTTACGCCGAGGAAGAAGAGAGTCAAACGGTGGGTTAAACCGTTGAATATTATGACCTTTGACGTTTGATGTATTTTATAATAAAATCTGAATACATTGCAATATCAGAATTAGATTGGATACACCATAATGAATATAGACAATTCCGTGAAATTCATTGTGTTGTACTATCCTTGAATCATTTTATTACTGAAATACGTGTATGTAGTTTGTTAATGTGTGATATAAACAGTGAAAAGTATGTATACAGATAACAACTATTTTATATTACAGGCGTCATCGTCCTGATGGTGTCAAGGTGAAGCAAGGCCATGTCTGTAATTGCGCTCGGTCACAGCTGAGAATAATCTCCTTATGGTTAGCTGCTATTTTAATAACATTTTGGCTAGTGGCTCTGTCATGGTTTGCAGCAATATTATATGGCGAAATTGGAAAGATGAACATCTCCATAAAATCTGGTAAATACAGCGAAAGAATTAAAAAAATATTATGTTAAGAGTAAAGTATAACTGTAAGAACATTCAAGTATTTTATTTTCGGGCAAAAACATTTAAACCGAGTTCTGCATCACATGCTACTTTAAATTTTGAACGTTAAAAATATTCTGTACTGTAAATGGCAAGAAAAACTACAGCAAGAGCAAAGGCAGTTTCGTCGCTACTATCTATGTACTTTAAATATCTAATCGCTGTAAATTGTATAACCTAGATTTGTCTCAAGGATATATCCTTGCAACGATTCCATAATCTTTATGAGCGTCAAAAAAAAACACGAAGCCTGAAATTATCACTTCGAAGTGCTAGACAGAATGAGTAATTAGTCTGAGATTATTCAAACAGGAATATCAAAAGGCTCACTGGACCGTAGCACTTTTCACAGACGCTGAGCATGCTAAAAATACCGCCTTCTCTCGTTGGGAAATCTGTAACAGCGTATTCTTTTTTTGGCATGTATTACACAAGACATGTATCGTCTAATGTTTATATTTAAGACCGTCAGGTATTGGAAAATAGTATCTGCAATGCGCAAATCACTCAGGAAGGAGTTCAAGTCCCTCCTTGAGCCTTTCATTTCCTCGGAGTGCATTCCATTGCCTGAGGGTACGATTAACTGCATCCCTCATGGGCTCTGTGGATTTTTAAAGCATCGCGGGTGCAATCATTGGTTGCAGTTCAAAGGGGGATCATGAAGTCGAGGGCTTCTTCATAGAACCCAGCCCACCTATTCGGATCAATGATTAAAGAGGTATCTACGTGCTTCCTGTCGGAACCTCCACCCCTAGAAAAATATCACCTTTCTGTACGTTCTTTATTCATTCAGCCCCTTCTGAAATGTTTCGACAGAATTATTTCATGCAAAATACAATTTGTCCACCAGATTGAAACGTGACCCGAATTTCGAACCGTTCGATAGAGCTGATCTTCGATTCCATCCTTGTACGAAATTCTGCAGGATTTCCATTTAGTATGTGAGATATACGAAATACGACAAATTCATCGAGTTCGAGCGGTTTCCTGCAAAACGAAAGCGAGATAGAAAGGGACATGGAGATTCGTTTGACCTCGCGTCCCCTTTCGGCATTTTATCATTTGCAACGTTTGCTCATCTCTCCTCAAGAGGAGGGTGAAAAAGAGAGGACGTACAAAGGTATATTTCCCTCGTCTCGCAACGAGTAGCGTTTAATGCAGGCTACGCTCTGGTTTCTTTATCTTTCCTCTTCTGCCTTTCGGTGAGCCAGAACTCCAGTTTACATTTAATAAAATTCATGAAGGACCTTCAACGCGTTCGTGACGTCTCGAGTTCGGTTAGGAACGTTTTCCTCGCCTCTTTGGCGCTCGAGGGGCGGTTTAAAGAGGGTGGGAAGGGATTTGCGAAAATGCAACCCCTCGTCCTCAAAATGTTGCATTTAATCCCCGCTCGTCCCGGGCATCTAATTCAGACCCATCCTTGTGTAAAGTGTAAAAATAAACCGGGGAAAGCCATTTCACCGGTCCATCCCTTCCTCCGACGTTTCGTTAGCTCGCCCTCTTTCCGAGGTTCTACGTGATCACGGAAAACTGGGGAGGAATCCCCAGTATATACACACACTGGAATTCCTCAGAAAGAAAGAAAAAAAAAACATCCACCGGTGAAAATTAATTACCATATCCTGAAATTGAAATCGACCGTTCGAACCGCGGCGTTCATCCCCCTCTCTCCTCTGGTTCATAAAAGAACACCCTGAAGTATCGAAGACTTTCTGGACAAAATTCTGAAATTTTATTCCACTGACGAGGAATTCTTGAATTTCGTGAGGGGGTGCGTTCCGCACATTCCGCGGGGGATGTTTCCCTCCCTGTAACCGGGTGGAAATAAACCGGGAAACACCCGGGGAAATTCATTTCCCCGTTCCCCCTCGACGTCTGTCGGCCGAAAGCCAGATCGCCGGAGGGTGAAGCTCCGAGGAAAAGGGTGGAAAGGGTGGAAAAGAGGAAAGGCGCGTCACCGGGAGGGTGGAAAAAATGCACAGCCGCCCCTAGGTCCGTCGCTTTTGGAAATTCTCCGACGCTAGCTCCCCCCTTATCCCCGCCATCCCCTTGACGACCTCTCCCCGGGTACCAACCCCCTTTAGTCGATATCGGGCATGCCTCGCGAGTACTCCGCGGAAACCACCCCGCGCGAGCAGTCGCTCGTTCCTCGAGCTCGGCCATTTCGTCCCTCGACGATTCCTCCGTCAGGTGCTCGACTCGTTCCTTCCTTTTAACCCCTCGTCTCGGTTCCCGATACACCCCCTCTGGGGATGATTATAAACCTCGACTCGGTGCATGATTCCTTTTTATTTCAAGCCTCCACCGTGCCGGGCAAAAATCGCCCCTTTGGTCATCTTCGCTTATCACGCGGAATATTCCCTTCTGGCTTCGTAGCGAAAAATTTGGTAAACCTTGATGCAGTACTTGGATTTCTTTTTTAATTTTGAATCTTAACCAGAAATCGTCCCATTAGCCGTCTCCTACACTTCTCTCTCGGAATATTCCCTTCGAGTTGTATCGATGCACTTATGAAACTAAAACAAAACTTATAAACCTCGACCCAGTGCTTGATTTTTTATTTCTTTATTTCGAGACAATCAAAAATCACCCCATTGGCCATCTTAGCTTATCACTCGGAATATTCCCTTCGGAGTTTGTGCTAAAAAATTTGATAAACCTCGACTCGGTACTCGTATTTCTGTTTTATTTTAAATCTCAACCAGAAATCGTCCCATTGGCTGTCTCCTCCACTTCTCCTTCGGAATATTCCCTTCGAATTGTGTGGATACACTTATAAACCTAAAACGAAACATAAAAACCTCGACTCAGTACTTATATTTCTTTTTTATTTTAAATCTCAACCAGAAATCGTCCCATTGGCCGTCTCCTCCACTTCTCCCTCGGAATATTTCCTTCGAATTGTGTGGATACACTTATAAACCTAAAACGAAACTTAAAAACCTCGACTCAGTACTCGTACTTCTTTTTTATTTTAAATCAACCAGAAATCGTCCCATTGACCGTCTCCTCCACATCTCCCTCGGAATATTCCCTTCGAATTGTGTCGATACACTTATAAACCTAAAACCAAATTTATAAACCTCGACTCGGTACTCGTATTTCTTTTTTATTTTAAATCTCAACGAGAAATCGTCCCGTTGGCCGTCTCTTCCACTTCTCCCTCGGAATATTCCCTTCGAATTGTGTCGATACACTTCTAAACGTAAAACAAAACTTAAAAACCTCGACTCAGTACTCGTATTTCTTTTTTATTTTAAATCCCAAGCAGAAATCGTCCCATTGGTCGCTTCTCCCTTGGTATAACCCTTCGAGTAGTGTACCACCTCGGAAGTGGAGTCCGCTGTTTATTTCAGTGCGAGCGGTGTATTTTTAAAAACGCTCCTCTCGATATCAGCGACTCGACTCGAGGCCGACCGAGGACTCTGCCTTTTCCACGATTTTTCTCTCAGGCTCGCCAAGTGGGGGCGACTGGATATCGGCGATGTACTTGGAAAAAAAAACCACCTCCAGTCGATTACGAGCTCTTATCTCGCGCATTTCGTGTACGTGTTCCGCGGTCGCCTTTGCTCGCGCTGGGACATATCAGTCGCTCGGAGTCACTTATCGGTGGAGGCGGTTCTCGCTGGTCGCGCGCGCCTTTATTCCGCGGCTTGTTTTTTCTTCTTCTTCTTTTTTATTCGAAATAATCTCATCTAAATGTCTCCATGAATATTTACGATCGATCCTCTGACGAGAGCTGGAGTGATTTCCCGCCGCGCTCGGCCGCGACAACATGCCAAGGGTACTTGGGATTTATTTATAATTAACCATCTACTCGTGTCGATTATTATCTGGGTAATTCCACCACTATCTGCCGGTACTCAACGCGCAGTAACCAGTATACTCGCAGAAAAGGATATCCGTATTAAATTCCCGAAGTGCACCTAGGGTCGAGTTATCAAGACTTATCTCACGTTTATTATTTTTCCTCGACTTTTCCTCGGCCTTCCTTATTCGCGTACGGCTGTCGTCCAGTCGCACGAGGGAGGGAAAAAATCCAGACTTATCTCCCGATTTTTCTTTTCTTTTTTTTTTTAATTGTTCTTGGCCTTCATTCCTACACGCGGGGCTTTCGAGTCGAGTCCTTCGAGGGAGGGAAGATATATGTGCCCATAATTATGAAAGTGTTCTAAGTCAAAATTAAAAAAAAAATGAGTTTATCAGTTATTTCACCCCATATTATTTCAAACGAAATTAATTCAATGTAATTTCGAAACAAAAAATATATGACTTAGACCACTTTCATAATTATGGGCACATATGGGGAATATCGAACGGGTGCGCGACGGGACGCGTAATTGAACTTGACCGGGGAAACTTGTCGGGCTCTCGGCCACGGTTTATCAATAAATTGATAAGCCCCTTGTATCGATAACGCTCGCTCTACTCCTCGAGGATTCAGCCCTCGGGTGGGAAGTCGGAGACGAAGTGCTCCATTGACGGGCCTCCCGAGGAGATTGGCTCATTCGTGATCGCGAGATTCGCGTCCATGACGAGGCGAGGACGTTAAGGTGAAGTGAAACTCCCTTCAAATCAGCCAATTCGAATACGACACTTTTTTTTAAGGGTATTGGACCAAACTGTCCGAAACTTTGACACCTCACTCCTGATCATCTAAGAATTGTCCCGACACATTCAAAATTTGGATTTTTTAACAAAACTTTTTAATTCAGCCCAAACCAGAACCAAAATGGCGTCGAGCTCTGATATTTCGATCGATATTCAATTATCGAAGACTCTGATATGAGAATTGAAAGGGTCAGGACAAGTTTACGACAATTTAGAACACTCTGGTAATCGATAAACTCGCATTTTGAACGGGATAAAGGCAAAAAAGGTGTTGTATGCGCTTCTTTGCTAAAACGATGCTAATACGAGGTCTCGGAGTGAAAATTTAATTGACCTGGAAATCACAGATGGCGCAAGGGGTCCCTCCGCAGTTAATTAGGGCCTCAGAAGGCATGAATCCAGAGGATTTCTGGAGTTTTACTTCGATTTCTTTATAATTATTGTACGGAAACGATAGGTGGAATATGCCCTTTGGTACAATACGTAATATAATTCGACCCAGCTGTCAATATAAAAACGAACGTCGGCAACGTAGGCATTTAGAAAAATCTTCTTTATAGACGTTGATCAAGTTCCTCGACGCGTTTCACTTCACCTTAACGTACATTTGGCTACGCATGTCGAAAGGTTTCCTACGACGAGGCTCGCACCCGGAATCGATCGGCACGTTCTGCCGTTGCGTGGACGCGGATACCTCGTGGGGACACGTCGGTGGAGGTTCGTGGGACATTGGGGCCTTCCGTGACAATAACACCTGGATGATCTCGATAGATCACCGGAAAGGAAGGAAATAATTATACTAAATTATTTATTAAAGCCTGGGCTTTAACTAACCCACGTCGACTCTCAACTCCTCGAGTCGAGGACGATCTCGAGCTTCGCCGCTAAACTTTTGGTTGGGCTCCAAAAGGGATCAAGGTTGATTTATATTAAGTCTCTTCGTATAAGGTTCGAGCCATCTCGAGGGACCCTCGGATTTTAAATGTGCGGTGAGATTTCTACGGATTTATATTGACTTAATCTTTAGAAATCTGAATTTTTAGACGAGTCGAGGTGGGCGGGAGATTTCGAGAAATTCGGATATCTAGATGCTTAAAGTGCGCTTAAAGTCATTGGTTTTTAAATGTGCGCTTAAAGTCTTCGGTTTTTAAATGTACAGTGAAATTTATACGAATTTAAATTGCCTTTATCTTTAGAAATCTCGATTTTTAGACAAGACGAGGTGGGCGGGAGATTTCGAGAAATTCGGATATCTGGATGCTTAAAGTGCGCTGAAAGTCCTAGGATTTTAAGTGTGCGCTAAAAGTGCGCTTAAAGTCTTCGGTTTGTACATGTGCGGTGAGATTTCTACGGATTTTATATTGCCTTAATCTTTAGAGATCTCGATTTTTAGACTCGTTGAGGTGGGCGGGAGATTTCGAAAAATTCGAATATCTAGTTGCTAAATGTGCGCTTAAAGTGCACGGATTGTAAATGTGTGCTAAATGTGTGCTTAAAGTCTTCGGTTTTTAAAAGTGCGGTGAAGTTTATACGTATTTAAATTGCCTTAATCTTTAGAAATCTCGATTTTTAGACGAGTCGAGGTGGGCGGGAGATTTCGAAAAATTCAGATATCTAGATGCTTAAAGTGCGCTTAAAGTCTTCGGATTTTAAATTTGCGCTAAAAGTGCGCTCAAAGTCCTCGGATTTTAAAAGTGCTGTAAAATTTATACGGATTTAAATTGCCTAATCTTTAGATATCTGAATTTTTAGACGACTCGAGGTGGGCGGGAGATTTCGAAAAATTCGAATGTCTAGATGCTAAAAGTGCGCTTAAAGTCCTCGGATATTTAGATGTACGCTAAAAGTGCGCTTAAAGTCCTCGGATATTTAGATGTACGCTAAAAGTGCGCTTAAAGTCCTCGGATTTTACATATGCACTAAAAGTGCGCTTAAAGTCTTCGGATTTTAAAAGTGCGGTGAAGTTTATACGTATTTAAATTGCCTTAATCTTTAGAAATCTCGATTTTTAGACGAGTGGAGGTGGGCACGAGATTTCGAAAAAATTCGGATCCTTAGAAATCCAAATTTCAAGGAGAGTGGTTGCCCTAGTTCTCTCCCCGATTTTTCTTCGCGTGAAACTGCTCTTTCTTTTTCTCTTTTTTTTTTTTTTTCGACTGATTGCTCAACATTGTTCCACGCAAACTACGCGTGTAAGAGTCCTTCGAGGTAAACGGCACGTACGCGTATCACCAGTTGAACGGGGTACCGATATGAAGACTCATGAATCACACGTGGCCTCAAAGTTTCACTTTCCGTTCCCTAAAGTCGCCGAACAAACGCCGAAACTTTTCCTCTCTCTCTCAGCGAATATATCCGGCGCGACTGATAAGGCTCCATTGGCAGTCGAGTGATCGATGGCGTCTCTCGATAACGAAATCCGTGATAAGAGTGCTTTTTTTTTCTTTTTTTCTTTTTTTTCTTCTCCCGAGAGATCTCGACTTAGTCCGTCAGGCACTCGCAAACAATGCTCGATACTAATACCCGGTTATGAATAATTGCGCCGTTAAAAAGCGATAAAACGCGTCTTTTCCGCCGGCCCGGAAAGAACTAATGGCATGTCATTTCGGTACCGAGGTATTCAATCTTTTTTACGACGTGGACCGGAATCTCCACACGTGAGGGTGGAGAAGAGACAATAGGCGAATAAAAAGACAGGTTCTCGATAATAAATCACGGGGGGGGGGAGGGGGCGCTTTTACGTTGAAATTTTTTATAAGCGTGCAGAAATCGTCACTCGTTCATTGACGAGAACGAGGTCATTCCTTCGAGTCTACCGTCAAAAGGGGAGGAAAAATAATAAAAACCGAGGCACAAATTTCCATTCGCGTCGCCAGGTCGTGCGTACGCACATCGGGGACCCGGCTTGTCGGCGGCACGTCGTTATCGCAATCGAACTGATAACCTTAATTCCTAAATACGAAAGCCGCTCTCGGAGCCGTGAAGAGTTCTAAGGCATCGCTTAAGCCGTAATTCCTACAATTGAGCCCGATTGAGCATCGAAATCCCCTTTAAGGTGAAGTGAAACCCCCTTCAAATCAGTCGATTCGGATACAACAATTTTTTTAAGGGTATTGAACCAAACTGTCCGAAACTTTGACACATAACTCCTGATCACCAAAGATTTGTCCCGACACACTCAAAATTTGGATTTTTTAACCAAATTTTTTAACAGCCCAGACCAGAAGCAAAATGGCTTCGGCTCTCATATTTCGATCAATATACAATTATCGAAGGCTCTGATATGAGAAACGAAAAGGTCAGGACAATTTTACGACAATTTAGAACACTCTGGTAATCGATAAACTCGCATTTAAACGGGATAAAGGCAAAAAAAGTGTTTTATGCGCTTCTATGGTAAAACGATGAGAATACAAGGTCTTGGAGTGAAAATTTAATTGACCTGGAAATCACAGATTGCGCAAGGAGTCCCTCTGCAGACAATTAGGGCCCCAGAAAGCATGAAGCCAGAGGATTTCTGGAGTTTTACTTCGATTTCTTTATAATTATTGTACAAAAAAGACAAATGGACTATACCATTTAGGACAATACCCAATATAATTCGACACAGCTGTCAATATAAAAACGAGCGTAGGTATTTATAAAAATCTTTATCGACGTCGATCAAGTTCCTCGACGTGTTTCACTTCACCTTAAGCGGCCATAAAAATAGAGATTAAAGAATTAGAGAAAATCGCAGAGAGCGCGAAAGTCCCGCCGAAGTTCGCGAAAATTCGAAAAAGTGCATATAAAATTGCGGGATCCGACATTGATAAACTACCCACGCGCGAGAGAACAAAGGCAGAGCCTCCTTAAGGTGTGTCCTTAAAAGAAAAGAAAAAAAAAGAAGAAAGATATGCACCTCGCCATCCTCGACCCATTCTCGTTTTCCCAGCGTCCTCTCAATAAGGCGGCTCCCCTTTGCGCCTCTTTGTCGAGCTCGGCTTGTCACGCGAGAAACAAATGCATTTCAGGCCTCGGCAAGATGACCGGCGTCGGTTCCTCGAGCCGCAGTTGGACGTGCGACGCCGTTAATAGGAGCGAGGCTTAAAAGTCGCAGCCTCGGCCGGTCGCGCCCCCTAAAATCCATCCAAGAGGAAGAAAAGTCGAGATAAATCCGCGATCGAGTCGCCAAATGGACCGGCGCTCGAGAGGATCCACCGGAAAGTCACCTGGAAGCCTTCCGAAGGATCAGCTGTCAAAGTCACGTGGTCCCGGAGCGCGCAGTTATCGGGCAAACCTGACCTAACCTAATCTACCCGTCCAGACGAAAATCGTCGGATTTTGGGGACCCAGAGGATCGCTACCGATCCCCCGATCGACGTCGAGGTCCAGCACAAGAGGATCGAGGTCGGCGACAATCCCGAGGAATTAATTCCACCTGTCAAAGTCCACGTGGCGCGTCACGTGACTCCAAGAGAGAAGATCCGATTTTTCGCCGGTTCGAGGGAATCGAAAGAGGATCCGATCTCGAGAGATAACGAGGCGTCGCGGGCGTCCTTTGACGTCGCCGGATGTCGCCCTGGTCGGCGCGTCGGAGGGCAAGGTGACCGGAAGTCACGGGAAGGATTCTCCTGGACTTTTCCTCGCCGTCCTTAGATGAGCCGGCGTCCGAGGGCGTCCACGGATCGATCAGTCTCCGAGAGCCGTCGAAACGCCCCCGACGCCAGCGTCGCGACGGCGGAGCCACGTTGGATGCCAGTCGACAGCCGGAGGAGACATTCGATGCGCCGACGAAGGAGGTGACCGGTTAGGGGAACCGGAAGCCAGGTGACCCGGTCGGCAGGGGGTCACGTAGCAGGTGTTGGAGGGTGCCGTGGGGGGTGAGGGCGCACAGGGGGGCCGCGTGGCCGTGGAGATGGACTCGGTGGCTGTGACCGTGCCCCTTCGGCCCCCGACGAAGAAGATGAAGAAGCGGAAGGAACTCGACGCCCTCGCGCCGCCCCACGCGGTGTCCAGGAGGAACTCCGGGAAACGCAGCTCCCAGGTACCCTCGACCTGCAACCGATAATCGTTCGCTCGTCGACTCCTAGTGCATGCGAATAAAAAAAAATAAAAGGAGGAAAGGAAACGTCCTTGGGATGTTTCGGCCGATTAGTGCGAGGTGGAGTTCGCGATTTCTCGGAGAGGTGTCCCCGAGAAGTCGGGGGGCCCTCCCTAGGTCCCACCCTGGGTCTTTCTTCTTTCTGCCTTTTGTTGTCGTTGGTGCGATAATTCCCGGGTCGAGATCGACGGGTTTCCTCGGTATTGAGAATGGTGTTCTTGCTGGTTCTCCAGGAATTGCTGACCGACAGCAGCGACGAGCGCTCGGAATACTGGACCGTCTCGACGAGGAGCGCCAGGAAGACCCGGGGCCGGAGGAGGCAGGCTTGTCCAGGTCTCCTGAGGGCCTGCAACGCCTTCCTGGTCTGCACCTCGGTTCTAGCCACCGCCACCTTGATCTGGCTCTTCATCGACGTGCGTCAGCAGCTCACGGCTCTCAGAACCGAACTGGATCAAGGTACTGCTCCCAGGAGACGGTTACCTTGGGCCGATTGGTCGAGCAAACCCACCTTTTCCTGTACCTGTGATTAATAAAACGAGCCTTTAGAGTCTTTCGTCCCCGACTTGGCAGCGGGGTTCCAAGGGGCACTCCCGGGGTCGTACCTTGGTCACCGGGCCCCTGCCTTCTACGAGAATTATATTTATCCCGACCTGGAGACTGGATAATGTCACCCTAATTTTAGGGATATATGTCACGCGTGGTACAGGTGTTAATTACTCGAAAACCGAGTTTTTTACCGCCCAAGGCCTGTGAGGTGGGATTTTAAGCGTTTCTAGGCTTTGCTCGAGCTGTAGTTTCACTTGATATGTCGGATACCTCTTGTATCGTTTATTTAATATGTAGCGAATTGAAAGAAGGGAGTCTTGTCATGTAAGGTACAACTGATTGTTTATATTGCAGTGATAGCTGGAAGCGAAGGCGTGCCCGATGCCCTGCAGAAGTGCCACTCTTTGTCGAGGGATCTCCAGAATAACCAGACGATCATATTCTCACACTTGTCCGATCTCAAGCTCCAGATGAACAATTTTACGGCACAAGTAAGGACAGCACGTGGTTTCTGTCGGATAGAACGACCGATTCTATTCGACCGTTCTTTTTAATCGATAAGAAGGGTTACGCTACGTACGGCATCCTTTAACGAGGCTTCTTTTTTCCTCCAGTTGTCTGGCATGCAGCACGGTTTGCGACAAGTTCAAGAGACTCTTCAGGATTCCCCGGAACTCGCAAGCGTGCCAAAAGGGTTGAACGAGCTGTCCAATACCGTTGCTCGGTTCGGCAGTCAAATTCAGGACCTTGGAGTCACGATCGCCACCTTGAAGAGGACCAACGCCAAGCTGCAGGATGCTCAAACCACTATGCGGCAAAACATCACTGATCTCAAGGTTGGTCGGTCGTTATTTAGTTTAAGGTGAAGTGAAACGCGTCGAGGAACTTGATCGACGTCGATAACGATTTTTCTAAATGCCTACGTTGCCGACATTCGTTTTTATATTGACAGCTGGGTCGAATTATATTGCGTATTGTACCAAATGGCATACTCCACCTGTCGTTTTCGCACAATGATTATAAAGAAATCGAAGTAAAACTCCAGAAATCCTCTGGATTCATGCTTTCTGGGGCCCTAATCGACTGCAGAGGGACCCCCTGCGCCATCTGTGATTTATAGGTCAATTCAATTTTCACTCCGAGACCTCATATTACCATCGTTTTAGCATAGAAGCGCATACGACACTTTTTTTGCCTTTATCCCGCTTAAATGCGAGTTTATCGACTACCAGAGTGTTCTAAATTGTCGTAAAATTGTCCTGACCTTTTCGATTCTCATATCAGAGCCTTCGATAATTGTATATTGATCGAAATATGAGAGCCGAAGCCATTTTGCTTCTGGTCTGGGCTGTTAAAAAATTTGGTTAAAAAATCCAAATTTTGAGTGTGTCGGGACAATTCTTTGGTGATCAGGAGTGGTGTGTCAAAGTTTTGGACAGTTTGGTCTAATACCATTAAAAAAAAGTGTTGTATTCGAATCGACTGATTTCAAGGGGGTTTCACTTCACCTTAAAGGCTCACCGTGTGCGCCAATTTCAGGGGACGTGAAAGTGGCATCCGAAAGCTCAATCGTTCATAAAAGTTTCCTACGAACTGGGTGTCTCAAATCGTTTCATACTTTAAAACCTAAATATGGAGATCATAAGGTAGGTCCTGAAACTCGGGAAATTTCATTTTTTACAAACTTTTTTTTAGAATACCTATAAAGAAATATGATAAGAATTGAAATTTCATGAGTTTCAGGACCTTCCTTATAGTCGCCCTATTCACATTGTAAGGTTTCAAACCATTCGGTAAATCGAGTTGGGAGAAAAGTTTTATAAACAAAACCTCTTCGACCCCACTTTCACATCACCTTAACGGGAAGAATACTCAAACGCAATGGCTGATCCGAATCTCTCGTTGCAGCACTCGTTGGACGACATCTCGGAAAGGTTCCAGTCGCCCCAGGCGTTGGCTACCAATGGAACTGAAATAAAAACGGAGGAACTTAATGCGACGATAGCGCGATTAACGAGCGATCTAAATCGCGTCAATGAAACCCTTTCGACCAAGCTCCAGTTGAGCGACGACGATCGGGTAAGCCTGAAGAGAATTTTGTCTCCCGCATATTCACCGTACTCTAAGACATACTGTAAGACATACTGCAAGACATACTGTAAGACATACTGTAAGACATACTGTAAGACATACTCTCTCGTTACTGGCATGAGGACCGGCGTTGCACTACTGCATATACACGTGGCCAAAATGTTTGCCTTCGAAGTAATGGATACCCGCTTAAATAATTGTAAGACAGACTCTCTCGTTACTGGCATGAGGACTGGTAGTGTACTACCAAAGAATTCAGAAGTCTCCATAGAAGTCCCGAAAGATACGGACGTTCGATGCTCGATAAATAGTATGTTAGCAAACGGATGGCGGCGCTGTAAGCATCTCTCCGTCTCTCTTCATATTATGGCGATATATAGCGAATTGCATTCTTTCTTTATCTTACACCCAATACTCGCCTTTCTATATGCGTCTCTCTTCCTCCCGTATGTGAGATATCTTTGGCTAACGCATGCGATCTCTCTTTTACCCCCATTTCTGGTTTGTTAGCCGACTTTTAGAGCATCAAGCGCTAACATAGGATCTGGGCTTCTATGGGACTTATGAATTCTTTGGTACTACCGCATGACACGCGACACCAGCGCCGTACCGTCCGTTTCGGGATCTATCCCCTATATATTGGGTTGATGCATAAGTCATTGCGCATTTTTTTCAAATATAAAAATGCGCGCAGAAATTAAATGTTTTAACATAACGTTATATGTTATTTTAAAGAGAAATTTGTCCTCTACAAGACAGTGTTTTAATATTTTTATTAGATTTAATTTTTCAGTCCATTTCTTGTGCCAATTCTCTGGTCGATTGTCGCGGGTTTTCATGGATAAGCTGGTTCGATCGCTCTTCATCAAATTCAACCGGACATCCTGAGCGAGCGCTGTGTGTGTGTGTGTGTTTTTGAGGTCGAAAGTTCCATTTTTAAAGCGCAAAAACCACCATTGAGCCGTCCTTGTGGTCATAGCTTCTTCTCCGTATACAGCGCAAATTTCACGAGCCGCTTTGGAAGCATTTGAGCCGCGATTAAACTCAATCAAAAGAAAGTGCCGAAAATGCTCATTTTTGTCCACTTAACCCTCCATTTTAATTGCCTAAAAATTCACAAAAATTAAATCTAACAAAATCATTAAAACACTCTTGTAGAGGAAAAAATTCTCTTTAAAATAACATATAACGTTATGTTAAAACATTTAATTTCTGCGCGCATTTTTATGTTTGAAAAAATGCGCAATGACTCATGCATCAACCCAATATATATTATAAAACTAGCATATATATATATGCTACAGTTTGGTGGAATTGCCGGAGAACTTTCCATGATTCCTAATTTCCAGAAATCCCTGGCCGAGCTTCAGAACCTTACCCAGAGTATGAGCACGAAGGTGACGTCCCTCGAGGGAGAATGTGCCAAAGCTACCGAGCAGGCAGTCATTTCGGAGCTGGTCAACAAATTGAAGGACCAGGTAATTCGCCCTCCAGGTGAAACTGGACACATCTATATAGTTGAGGAGACATTCAACGGATGGTGGATAATGATTTAAATTTCACTTGCGGCGTTCCAGCTAGCGGAAATACGAGCCATGGATCTCGAAGTCAACGGGAAGCTGAAACAGTTGGAGCAGTCGTATAACGCTTTGAGGAACTCGTCCGCGCCGTTAACGTCGACGGGTATTAAGAATAAGCAGCAAGGGGTCAAATCAAAAGAGGAGGGAACGTCCAGTCGTGGTCAGACATCGCCGGAATCTACAACGGCGACTGGTCGTGGGGTCTTAGGTTCGAAACGTCTTTTTTAAGGGACTGTGCCACTGTGAACGTCGAAAAGATTACACATTTTTTACTATTCTATTTTTCCTCAAAAAGTACTTCATATAACGGCACGAAACTTTTTCTTATCCATGAAAGGTCTAATGTAGGAGAATAGAGACAAATTTTTCTTTTTAGTAAATAAGATATGTATCTATTTATTTATTATTACAAACGTGGAGTAGTAAACAAAAAATGGTTCGTTGCTGGCGCAGGTGATTGAAGTTCTCCTGGTGATCTGAAACAAAATTCAAAAAGATTCCTAATCTGTAAGACCATCGCTACCGGCCGTACCTCAATTATTAATTTATATCATAAATTAACAAAATGACGGCGTTTTTTTGCAAAAGTGTTAACAAAAATACGTTTTTTTTGCGCTGTGATTGAAGCAAAAGTAGGAGTTGAAATAAAAATTGTACCATGATTGAGGTACGGCCGATAGCGACGGCCTTGCAGATTAAGAATCTTTCTAAATTTTTTGTTTCAGATCACCCGCGCCAGCAACGAACAATTTTTTTTACTACTCTACGTTTGTAATAATAAATAAATAAATATGTATCTTTTTTACTAAAAAGAAAAATTCTCCTGTATTCTCCTACATTAGACCTTTCATGGGAATAAAAGTTTGTGCCATTGTATGCAGTATTTTTTGAGAAAAAAAAACGTTCACAAGGGTATAGCCCCTTAAGGCGATGTGAAAGTGGCGTCGAAGAGGTTTTGTTTATAAAGCTTTTCTCCCAACTCGATTTACCGAATGGTTTGAAGCTTTACAACGTGAATAGGAAGACTATAAGGAAGGTCCTAAAACTCATGGAATTTCAATTCTTTTCAAATTTCTTTATAGGTATTTTAAGAATAATTGATAAAAAGTGAAATTTCGCTAGTTTCAGGACCTACCTTAGGGTCTACATATTCACGTTTTAAAGTAAGAAACTATTTGAGACACCCAGTTCGTAGAAAAGTTTCACGAACGATTGAGCTTTCGGATGCTACTTTCACATCCTCTTAAGGATCTCGTTGCAGTTCTTACCCAGGAGATGATCGAACGTTCTCTTACCTTTCAGGAAGTAACGAGGAGTCGAGGAACATGTCTTCGACGACCAAGCCGAATCATTGAATCCGCAGTCGCTGTTGGGGAGCAGTACCTCGTCAATAAGGATGAACCTAGCAGGAAATCGCGTTTACTTGTACATAATGGATAATTAAGTTAACGCTAACGTCGTATACGTAGGCAGTAGGAAGTGGTCGCGAGTTTTGGAGGGCATTTGCGCGTCTCTCCGGCGACGAGTCACGAGAAGGGAGGAAAGGCATTCACGATTAACTTCTTCTCTTCGCAAGTGCTTTCGCGAAGATATCCAATGCAAGGTGGAGAGGAACGAGGAACGATCATTCCTGCGCGAGAATAACGCTAGGTTCGAGGTGTAATTTATTTACCGGTCATTTAAGGTGAAGTGAAACATCCTTCAAATCAGTCGATTCGAATACAACACTTTTTTTTAAGAGTATAGACCAAACTGTCCGAAACTTTGACACGTCACTCCTGATCATCTAAGAATTGTCCTGACACATTAAAAATTTGGATTTTTCAAACAGATTTTTTAACTCAGTCCAGACCAGAACCAAAATGGCGTCGAGCTCTGATATTTCGATCAATATACAATTATTGAAGGCTCTGATATGAGAATCGAAAGGGTCAGGACAATTTTACGACAATTTAGAACACTCTGGTAATCGATAAACTCGCATTTCAACGGGATAAAGGCAAAAAAAGGGTTGTATGCGCTTCTTTACCAAAACGATGGGAATACGAGGTCTCGAAGTGAAAATTTAATTGACCTGGAAATCACAGATGGCGCAGGGGTTCCCTCCGCAGTCAATTAGGGCCCCAGAAGACACGAATCCAGAGGATTTCTGGAGTTTTACTTCGATTTCTTTGTAATTATTGTACGAAAATGACAGGTGGAATATGCCATTTGGTACAATACCCAATATAATTCGACCCAGCTGTCAATATAAAAACGAACGTCGGCAACGTAGGCATTTAGAAAAATCTTCTTTATCGACGTCGATCAAGTTCCTCGACGTGTTTCACTTCACCTTAAGTCGATTAGCTAGGGCTTTAGGCGGCAGACGCGATGACGTCCACGTGGGGTAACATCAAACGAAAAGTACAAATTCCGTAGTCCCTCAATGTCTCGTCCGACTCGTTATCTCCTTTTCTCATTTCCTTTCCGTATCTGTAAGGAAACTTGTACCACTACTCTCGGAAACCACTACGCGACGTTATTTTGTCGCGACTTTGAAAACACGGTTATTCTTGTACGCGCAGAGGCAAAAGGACGTTCCGTTTAACGTAGTTTTTAACCGAGTACCACCGAATCGACCAAGTATTAGCTTTCTCTACACTTTCCACGAGAAGAAAAGCACTAACGTCTCGAGCTCCTGCGAGCGTAGGTCCGAAGCATTACGTGAAATCGAGACGCGTAACAGCTGTGCTCCGATAACGCTCATCGCCTTATCAAACGGGGGAGACGCTGTCGGGGCCGTCGTCTAACATTCAGTGATAGCGAGAAGCACGATTTCATACGTGAAATGCTGTGATAAAACGAGTAAGAGGGGACGATAGTAATAATGCGCGTATTTATTATGTTACGCGTAAATCGTGCGTAGCCGAGCAAAGAGCAGGGGAATTAGATGTAACGCGTCGAGAGTGCGATTCGATTTGTTGACTGCAATAAACTTAGTCGAGGAATAACTTGGTGAATGTTCCGAGGGAATTAGCCATCGTCTCGATGGGAGACTCTTGTTTAGCTGGCCCGTAGTTACCCAGGGTGAATGAGGCGTGTGGAGTGCGTGTGTAACGGTGTTCGGCCGTGTTAATAAAAAAGAACTACTGTAAGCAAAAGGGGAAATTTATTTAAACGGTTTAAGTACCTCTTATCGAGATGTGTCACCTATTATACCTATTTTCGCCGCAGAGGAAAAATATCCAATGTGCCGTTTACATGCGCGCGATAAGGTGCAAGTTCCCGTACTAATTATTAGTATGTGCTGACGGAATACTAAGGGAAAGAATTCCATGCACTCGCCTATCCTCGCCCATGCTCGTGGGTGTGCGCGCGCACCCGGGCAGAGTGAAAGAGTCATCGAGGTGCATCAAGGGCGCTGCAGTCGCGCGCATACCGCGGGAGTGGGAGGTCGCCAGAGGTCGGTGGGGGACGTCTCCGGTGTAACGGGGGTGCATCCGGGCGTGCACGGGAGCAAGCTCCTCGCGGAGCGTCGAGGAGAGGTTCGACATTTGCGCAGTTAGCGTTGAGGAAAAAATCAAAACAATCAAGATGGCCGACCCGAGCAGCGAGGTAGCATCGTCGAGCGGCGTCTCGGACACGGCGGCCACGGCCCCGCCGATACGGGACGAGCTAGAGAAGGTCGAGGAATTGCTCGGACCCGAGAAGAAGCGACGCAAGCTCTTGCGCGCCGATGGGAAGGCCGAGCAAAAACTGGAGCACCGACTGGGCGGTATCCTTTGCTGTGCCGTGTGCCTCGATCTGCCCAGGGCGGCCGTCTACCAGGTAAGTCCCTCCGCGGGCGTCCCGATGCCGTTCCGCCGATTCGGCGACGCTCGAACGGGTTTTAAGATTCGCGTCGCCGTCGGTCGCCCCTCTCGCGCGTCCTCGCTGCCCGTTTCCCTGCCATGCCCTTAAGGAACAGCTGTTCGCGGCCGCCATCTTGGGTGCCTCGGCCGCCATCTTGTCTCCTTCAACGGCACCGCGAACAATGCACGGCGTGGCCCGAAAATGGCGACGCTTTTTTGACACGGTCAAGGCCTGCGAGGCGAGAAATATGGGCTGCGAGGCGCGCGATTCGACGGAGGGGTCGCTCCGACACGGTGGTTTTGTAGAAGCAGGCGTCGCGAGTGGGAAAGTATGCGCGTGAAAACCGGGTTGACGCGGGGTGCAGCCAAGATGGCCGCCCCCATTGTTCGGGCCGACTGGCCAACAGCTGACGGCTCTACGACCTTGCCCACTGTTCGGGGGTCGCTTAGGGTCGATGTCTTTATACTACGTATGTGAGGGAATTGATAAATATCTCTTAGACCCCGATATCTCTTAGCTTTCGAGGTTACTAATGAGATGGCACTTGGAGCACGCTCTCTCTGAACGAGCGTATCAGTTCTGGGTAAAATGTTGTCGCTACTTTTCAGGTTTACCTCTAATTCCAGGTCTACCCTGACACGTTTCTCCACTCCTTTAGTATTCTACCGCTCCTTTAGTTCGATCCATTCTCTACATCTCTCACAGAGAGAAGATCCTGAATGACTCGCAACCCGATACAGGAATATGTGAAACTGTGGTACGGCATTGGTATCTACCGTAACTCGGTGAGAGTTTTATTTTTTACTTGCGAGAAGAAATCGTATTGTACTCGTTGTCCACATCGATACCTTCTAACGGAGATATCCATTCGCCTCTTATGCGCACCCGATATCTATCTACGTTAGACCCGATAAACGTGCAGAGGATAACCGCAATGTATTTTTGTTTACAGCAAGGGATGTGTTTGCAAACTTGAAGTATAATTTGTTTTAGAATAGGAAACACCCTTAAGTTGTTAGATCTCACCATTCGCAACGTCAAAAATCATTGCTCGAGCCCTCTTTCATCATCTTACGTCCGTGCATCGTCGGTGAATCTAATCGATAATGTCAAAAGATAGATCTCGGCTTTACTTCATGGTATCGCTTAACAATAAATAAGACGACACGTCCGAGCCATATGGTAGTCACGAGATATGTACGCACCCATTAGTGTTTAGTGTCTAGAATGTTATTATTTACATAATGTGTAACACTGTGCGTTGTGTAGAGATTAATTAAGACAAACCGGAGGAACCCGGTTGCAAGCTCGTTGGTTAAAAAATGTATCCGTGCCGCCAAGAAGGTTCACACGATGCTCGATTAATCGTTGCAAAAGAGTGAGAGTGAGAGAGCGGGGAAGGCTGAGTATAAAACTTTTTTTTGTACGACCTGTGTAGACCAAGGAAGACCTCCAGAGAGTCAAATAAATCAAATTGAACTTTATTAGTTATTTTGAATTCAACCCAGAACACTTCCCCGTGCAACGTTTCCCCCTTTCAGAAACCTTGGCATCGCCACTGAATTTTCTTCGGTCTGAATTGTGTCTATCGGTCGAATCGCTCGCTAGGAGGGAGAACTGCGAGGATTCGACCTCGTAATGCAAAATCACTGCCAGGAGCGTTAATGATGCCTGTCAATTTTGTGTTTCAGGTTGTAGAACTGCAAAATCATGGTAAAGAAAGCTAGCTTTGTTATTTTCATTCAGGCGATTTTTATCCCAATCCGTCCGCAGTTGCTATTAACATTAACCGAGTAATGCGAGGGGCGCATGCAAAGCATATATATTTCGGTTTTGTAAGTACTCCGCCACGTCGCATCGCGGGAGGTCTGGATCCGATCGCCTAGAGTTCTTTACGATCCTCTCCGTATGACTTGAAACCCTGACGTTCTTGCATTTGTCTTCTTTTCTTTTCTTTTTTTTTTCTTCTTTTCTTCACGGTGAAAGGAATTCTCATTCGCAGACTTCCGTGCGAATAATCAGAGACAGGGTATTTCCAAGAGCGCTTCCGTATGGACACACTGTACTTGTACTCTTATCACCTACCAGTTCCTTGTATTAATATTCCTCGATGATGTTTCCAGTGCACGAATGGACACTTGATGTGCGCCGGTTGCTTCACTCACGTCTTGGCCGACGCCAGGCTGCGAGATGAACTGGCTACGTGTCCTAACTGCAGGATCGAGATCAGCAAGACTTCGGCCTCCAGGAACCTCGCCGTCGAAAAGGCCGTCTCGGAATTGCCGGCCGAGTGCCAGTACTGCGGCAAGGAATTCCCCCGGAATTCCTTGGAACGTCACGAGGCACTGTGCGAGGAAAGGTAAAGCGATTAATTGCGTACAAGGTAAATAGGCGTACAGAGAGTGGCGGCCTTGAGCTAGGAGCGTTTCCTTCTATCTCCCTCCCTAGTATCTCGAGATCTGTCCTGATTGATCGTTACTCTTCCCAGGATATGTAGCTGCAAGTACAGCAGAATCGGATGCCCATGGCGAGGCCCGAACCACGAGGGTCCGGAACACGAGGCTCTCTGCGTCCATCCTCATCGAACCGGGGCGGACGTGATGGATGCTCTGAGAGACATCGACGCCAGGACCCTGGAAGAACGGCGACTCTACGACAACGTTTTCGATCTCTTGTCTTACGAGAAGATCACGTTTAATGGTCTGCATATAATTTAATAAGTCCTTTTGTTACACACTTTACCGACCGGATGCCTATTAATCGGTTTTGCGATACCCGTGATCGCCATTTACTTTTTTACTTACAAATTCCCCGGTCGGTTAAGTGTTAAGGTGATGTGAAAACGGCGTGAAGAGGTTTGGTTTATGAAACTTTTCTCCGGCCTTAGTGTACCGAATCGTGTCTAACTTGACAATGTGAATATGGAAGCTATAAAGAAGGTCCTGACACCCATAAAATTTCAATTTTTCTTTAATTTGTTTATAGGTGTTTTCGAAATTTTGTATGAAAAATGAAATTTTATGAGTGTCAGGACCTTCCTTATAGCCTCCATATTCACGTTGTAAAGTTTGAAACGATTCGGTACACCCAGTTCGTAGAAAAGTTTCATGAACGATCGACCCCTCGGATACCACTTTCACATCCTCTTAATCTTTCGGATGCCACTTTCACATCACGTTAAGGGGATGTGAAAGTGGCATCCGAAAGCTCAATCGTTATAAAACTTTTCTCCGAACTGGGTGTCTCAAATCGTTTCATACTTTAAAACCTGAATATGGAGACTCTAAGGGTAGGTCCTGAAACTCGCGAAATTTCATTTTTTATAAACTATTTTTAAAATACCTATAAAGAAATTTGAAAAGAATTGAAATTCCATCAGTTTCAGGACCTTTCGTAAGAAAGGTGAATAGGGAGACTATAAAGTCTCCCTATTCACGTTGTAAAGTTTCAAGCTATTCGGTAAACTGACTTGGGAGAAAAGTTATATAAACAATACCTTTCGCATCCCCTTAAGTAACACTTGCCCGGTAAATTTACGCCCGTCGTCCTTGTGCAGATCTACAGATGAAACCGTACCGCACCGACGAGTTCGTCCACAAGCTCTTCTACGAGACTTCTCGCTTCACGGCGTTCAATAATCAGTGGGTCGTCAAGGCTCGGATCAACAACAGTCAGCGTGACCCTACTCAAAGCTCGGAGCGTGACATGACTTATCAGGTGGGGAAAATTAGAATTATCGATAATGTAGTCTCGAAAGGGGGAACAATCGCTGGAGGTGAAAAAAGGAACGAAAGAGAGATGCTCGTCTTGGTTTATTTCGTTTGGTGCGGAAAATCAGAAATATTGATAATGTAGTCTCGAAAGAGGGAACAATCACTGGAGGGTAAAAAATGAAAGAAAGAGATGCTCGTCTTGGTTTATTTTATTTGGTGCGGAAAATCAGAATTGTTGATAACGTGGTCTTGAAAGAGGGAACAATTGTTAGAAGGGAAAAAAGGAACGAAAGAGATAGCTCATCTTGGTTTATTTCGTTTGGTGCGGAAAATCAGAATTGTTGATAACGTGGTCTCGAAAGAGGGAACAATCGCTGGAGGTGAAAAAAGGAACGAAAGAGATAGACGCTCGTCTTGGTTTAATTCGTTTAGTGCGATAAATCAGAATTATCGATAACGTGGTCTCGAAAGAGGGAACAATTGTTGGAAGGGAAAAAAGGAACGAAAGAGATAGCTTATCTTGGTTTATTTCGTTTGGTGCGGAAAATCAGAATTGTTGATAACGTGGTCTCGAAAGAGGGAACAATTGTTGGAAGGGAAAAAAGGAACGAAAGAGATAGCTTATCTTGGTTTATTTCGTTTGGTGCGGAAAATCAGAATTATCGATAACGTGATCTCTAAAGGGGGAACAATCGCTGGAGGTGAAAAAACGAAGAAAATAGATGCTCGTCTTGGTTTATTTGAAACGAGAGCACATATCGGGATGGATCTCCAATCACGATATCGACTTTTTACCCGACCGCCCTTATGAGTACAGGATTCTAAGAGTGAGTTTCTTACAGCTAATCCTGAAGACTAAGACGACGTATCCTCTGCCTCTTCACTACTTGATCCTGAAGGGACCTTTCGGCGACATGAAGGTCCAGCCGAGGATCCACCGATTCGACTTCACGGAGCAGGACAACGAGAGTCCCTATTTACCCCTTCCTCTTCCCGACACGGCAGAATGCAATAGACTTCTCGCAGCGAAAGCCATCAATTTCCGGTAACTATCCTGACTAATTCGGACGCTCCCGACTAGACTCGCGTAGGAAAAATATAGGTTTCTATCGTAGCCATGCATGCAGGTACAGTGGTTTGAAACTGCTTTGCAGCTAGTATCACATGTCTCGGTTTCATCGTAGCTCGGTAGTTTTGTACCCTCTCGACGTCGAGTCGCCTCCATGCCGGTAGAAAAAATATATCCTTCGAGCCGATAGCTCTCGGAATGTGAAATGTTTCTCTTCCTGTTCCAGATTAATCATGTTCTTGGCGTCTAAGTAGCTTGGTCTCGGGGCCCTCGCCTGCCACGAGTGAGCGCGTTCACACAAATCCTTAGTTCTAACGATGTTAAATGATATAGATTTATTATCGTTTATATAAGCACGATAATAATAACGCTAACGACATCGCTGTCATCATTAGAACTACTGCGAAGCCTAACGTTACGTTCCACTCGACGATTACTCGGTTGCGTCTGCTGGGCGAATCGGTTGATAAGACCTCTAAGGATCCTCACGAGGGCGACGGAAGAAGAAAGAGGGGAAGAGAGAAGGAACCGCGAGTTACGGTAACGCAGTAAACCGTAAGGCATAACCTAAAGCGTAGTAGAAATATATTTAAGCCCCTAGATGTCGAAGGGAAGGATGTGTTGGGCGGGACGGAAATAGGGAAACTGAGAGGACCGTCGGAGGTACTCGGTTGGGATAACTTCTTATCACAGTCGGTTATCTCGGTCATTTTCTCTCGATCGTTTCGCCTTAGGTTTTGCGACGGCTCGACAACTTGTTTCCTTGTAAGTTTCTCGAGAAGTAGGCAAATGACGAATCATGCTTTGCGTAGACTGTTTAGGTAAGTACGTTATCAGCCTGTCAGAGCCTATTACCAGTAATTACCATTACCGTTAACGCCATCCTTATTAATTGTCACCTACCCGTATGCTGGGTGTCACAGGTACGAATCCAGTATATCCGATATTGTAATCACGTAGATTGAAATAAATTTACTATCAAAGAGTCTCACGCTGCCTCTACCTCGACCACGAACCTGCCGGCGCCGCTGTAAGACTGCAAGCTCCTTATTTCGTTTGAGCGATTAGGGTTCGCGAGAGACGTGGCTAGCGACACCAGGCCTAACTTCCTCTCGGTCGTTATAATTCGGACAGATTGATGAAAGCGTTGTTGCTCACCTTGGGCCCGTTCGCGTTGTTGGGAGGGAAGATCAAAGGGTTTAACAGGGTGCCGTTCTCCGGAGGGCTGTTGCTGCTCCTCCGATGCTTCGGGGTGGGTGGCCTAGGGTCCGGCTCCGAACATCCTGTCAGCCAGTACGACGTCACCTTGCCCTTCCCCTTCAGCTCCACCTCGCCTCTCAGCTCCAAGTCGAAGCTCCCGTACTTGTCCAGGATGTTCTTCGTCGCCTCCGACACGTGGATCTTCAGGGCTGAAAATATGGACTCGAGTGGGAGGGCCGGCTTACGTCTTACCGGTATTTTCAGGACGTCAACCTGGAGTCCAGTTTGAGGCGCAAACAGAATTAACGGGATTAAGGGGATGTGAAACACGTCGAGGAACTTGATCGACGTCGATAAAGAAGATTTTTATAAATGCCTACATTGACGACGTTGGTTTTTATATTGACAGCTGGGTCGAATTATATTGGGTATTATACTAAATGGCATACTCCATATGTCGTTTTCGTACAATAATTATAAAGAAATCGAAGTAAAACTCCAGAAATCCTCTGGATTCGTGCCTTCTGGGGCCCTAATTGAATGCAGAGGGACCCCCTGCGCCATCTGTGATTTCCAGGTCAATTAAATTTTCACTCCGAGACCTCGTATTACCATCGTTTTAGCAAAGAAGCGCATACAACACTTTTTTTGCCTTTATCCCGTTCAAATGCGAGTTTATCGACTACCAGAGTGTTCTACATTGTCGTAAAATTGTCCTGACCCTTTCGATTCTCATATCAAAGCATTCGATAATTGCATATGGTTCGAAATATGAGAGCTCGACGCCACTTTAGTTCTGGTCTGGGCTAAATTAAGAAATTTTTTCCAAAAATCCAAATTTTGAATCTGTCAGGACAATTCTTAGATGATCACGAGTCATGTGTCAAAGTTTCGGACAATTTGGTCCAGTACCCTTAAAAAAGAGTGTTGTATTCGAATCGACTGATTTGAAGGGGGTTTCACTTCACCTTAATGGAATGTAGATGTTTAATGTCATGTTGGGTTTTGTTTGTCGAATCTTTCTACAAAAACCAGAGCTGTTCGAAAAGATAAACGAATGTCGAAATCGTGGAAATTTCGATCCTTCGACTCTAATGGGTTCTCGGACGTTAGGGAAATTCAGCGCCTCCCAGAACCTCAGAAACGTTAAAACGACCATTTTCAAGATTTGTTTTTTCCATGGCTTAGGCTTCTCGCAGAGGCTTTCATTAATTTGCGCAAGTAAATCCCGGGGAGTACTTATGCTTAGAATTTCTTGAGACCGATAGGAATAGTTCTTGGCAGTGAAGAAAATTAAAGTCCTTAAGAACTTCCTTTTCCCTACTTTTACGATTTTTTTCCTGTAGCTCAAGGTTCCAGCAGGAGCTTCAGTTAATTTGTGGGCGTACCCTGGGGATAGTACTTGAACTGAGAATTTTTGGAAGCCGATAGGGGTTGCCCTTGACAGCTAGGAAAATTCAGAGCCACCCAGAACCTCGAAAACGTTAAAATAGTAATTTTCCGAATTTGTTTATTTTTTTAACAGCTCTGGGTTGTGTAAAAAAAATGACACAAACGTATACATCACAGAGAAACATTCCAATAAGCCTGTTGAATTTTGATTGTGCCTGAAATTTGTTTGCGCCTCAAACTGGACCTCCAGGTTCACGCAGCCGCAATTTGCGCAAACTGGCCAGACTTTATTAGTTCCTGTTGGCATATTCTCAAAGCAGGATATCGTTTTTTAGATGATCAAGCAAAGCCACGAAAGAGTTCCTTACGCAGTCCCGAGGATTCCATCCTGGAGGCCGTGTTGACGGTGTCGCCGAAGAGACAGTAATGAGGCATCTTCTGGCCGACGACACCCGCGCAGACCGGACCACTGTGGGCGCCGATCCTGATGCTCAACTGGGCATCCTGCTTGTGCATTATCGTGAACGACTTTACCGCTTCCAGGATCGCCAACGCCATCAGGCCGATCTCCCGGGCGTGCTCGTCACCGTTTCGCTCAGGAAGACCGGATACCACCATGTATGCATCCCCGATCGTCTCGACCTGGTGCAAAAAAATTGCCAATTCAACCAGAGCCCGTTTATACTCCGAGAGTTACGGTGAAGTGAAATCCCCTCAAATCAGTCGACTCGAATAAGACACCTTTTTTTAAGGGTATTGGACCAAACTGTCCGAAACTTTGACACATCACTCCTGATCATCTAAGAATTGTCCCGACACATTCAAAATTTGGATTTTTCAACAACATTTTTTGACAGCCTAGATCAGGACCAAAATGGCGTCCAGCTCCCACATTTCGATCAATATACAATTATCGAAGGCTCTGATATGAGAATCGAAAGGGTCAGGACAATTTTACGACAATTTAGAACACTCTGGTAATCGACACATGACATGATCATCTAACAAGGAAACATTCCCAAGTGTCCGCCCCCGATCTTATCGATTTTCATACATGTTGAACAACACAAAAATCTAAGAAACACGTGTTTTTTTATATCTGCAATGGTCCGCACTTAAGGGGTGAAACAACCCCCCAAAGTTTGGCAAAAATTCGATTTGTATAATAATTTTCATAGAAGCAATGGAGGGATTTCAACGAAACTTGGTATAAACGTGTTCTGTATAAGGACGGTGAAAACACAATATTGTCCAGCAATGCTACAACCCCCCAAGGGGGTGAACTACCCTTCAGGCGACATTTTTTTGTAATATCTATTAAACAAGCACAACACCTTAAGGTGAAGTGAAAACTCCAGAAATCCTCTACATTCATGCTTTCTGGGGCCCTAATTGACTGCAGAGGGACTCCCTGCGCCATCTGTGATTCCCAGGTCAATTAAGTCTTCACTCCGAGACCTCGTATTGCCATCGTTTTGGCATACAAGCGCATACAACACTTTTTTTGCCTTTATCCCGTTCAAATACGAGTTTATCGATTACCAGAGTGTTCTAAATTGTCGTAAAATTGTCCTGACCCTTTCGATTCTCATATCAGAGCCTTCGGATAATTGTATATTGATCGAAATATGGGAGCTGGACGCCATTTTGGTACTGATCTAGGCTGTCAAAAAATGTTGTTGAAAAATCCAAATTTTGAATGTGTCAAAACAATTCTTAGATGATCAGGAGTGATGTGTCAAAGTTTCGGACAGTTTGGTCCAATACCCTTAAAAAAAAGTGTTGTATTCGAATCGACTGATTTGAAGGGGGTTTCACTTCACCTTAACGTTATGGAATCGAGGGGCACCTTGTATACGTCGTAGAACCCGATGATACGGTCGAAAGTGCTGTAGAGATCGTTTAAAAAGTCCACCACCTCCATCGGGGTGCTTTGGGCGCAGAGCGCGGTAAAACCTACGATATCACTGAAGTAAATTGTCACGCACTCAAATTGTTCAGGCTGGACGAGTTCTCCAGCCATTAGTTGACCCGCCACCTGCCTATAAAATTGTCCGTGATCGTTATTACAAGAGATTAAGACGCGCGGGTAGACGGGCAGTTACTAAAATTGGAAGTTCGGGCCTTCTGAGGGGATTTCTCTCTCGGGAATACCTAGGGAGCACTTGGTACAGCAATTCCTCGCTGCGACGCTTTTCCAGGCTCAGTTGCTCCGTTTTCTCCTCCACCAGGGCTTCCAAATTGTTCGCGTACTGTTCCATTCGTCTCAGCAAGTCGTCCATCAAGTTCTCGCAGTAGCCTCTGTAAAAATCGACCATGGTGCTTCGAGCAATTTGTTTATATATATATAAACTTCCAATGAAATCTACATATATATATATACATACATATATTCATATATATATACATACATACATACATACATATATATATATATATGTAGATTTCATTGGAAGATATTTGAAATATTTCTGGAAATATCTCAATGACATATTTAGTTTCAATAATTTATAAACATATATAGAAATTATATTTTTTAACCTATGAACATAATAAAAATACATTTTTTACTTCACGACCATTATCGGACACTTCATTTGGTATAAAAAAAACACGAGAAATGTTTCTAATATTTTCGTTCCGCTATTTCATTATGGGAGCAAAACGTGTGATTTTGATTTTAAATCTTTTTAAAACGTTTATAATGTATTCGGCGGACAATATTTAAAAAATGCTTGTATTAAAATGAAACGAAATGTTTTGTATATCTGGTAGGAAAATATCATGATAACACGTGGAGCTAATATTATATAAATATTATAGAGATAATATTCTAAAGTAAACGTTTTGCAAATATTTCAAATGTCTGTGTAAATATTTACAAAATATACGATATTCGTTAAATATGTAGAAAATATAGGAGAAATATTATGTGCTACTAGGGTAGCTTCGAGAACGTAGCATTTACCTAACAGTTATGTAACAGTGTTCTGTGGGTATTAGAATTTTATTCCCTTTATTTTATACTGACTTCATGATCCCTCGAATCGTGCCTCGAATCGTGTGGAAGGTCGGCCTGTCTTCTGGCACCTCGGTCCAACATTTCTCCATAAGAGACAGAATGTCTGTAGGGCAATCTCTTTGGGCGACTTCCGGTCTGAAGACTGGGGCCTCTCCGGCCAGGACGCGGCTCACGACCTTCGTTAAAATCAATATAAAATTCGCAGTTTCCCTAGTAGCACAAAATATTTCTCTTATATTTTCTATATATTTAACCAATATTCTACACTTTTTTTAAATATTTACCAGACATTTGAAATATTTGCAAAACATTTACTTTTGAATATTATTTCTGTAATATTTGTATAATATCAGCTCCACGTGTTTTCGTAATATTTTTCTTCTAGATATACAAAACATTTCGTTTCATTTTAATATAAGTATTTTTCTTTAATATTATCTGCCAAATACATTATGAACGTTTTAAAAATATCTAAATTGCAAATCACATATTTTGCTCCCATAGTGAAATACTGGAACGAAAATTTTGCAAAAATTTCTCGTGTTTCTCATATACCAAATAAAGGGTCCGATAATAATCGTAAAGTAAAAAATGTATTTTTATTATATGTTTATAAATTAAAGAATATAATTTTGATACGTATATATATATAAATTATTGAAACTAAATATGTCTTTGGGATTTTCAAGAAATATTTTATATATCTTCAAATGAAATCTACGAGCCATCTTGAAAAATCTGTCGCTTGAGATATGTAGCAAAGATTGGAATAAATATTTAGAAAATATCCTGTGCTACTAGGGTTAATTTGTAAGAAATTATTCCACGGATATTTACCTCCTGGGAAGTCATGTACATCCGTGCCACCTCGTAAGGTCCACCTCGCACGACGATTTCCTCCAGGATTATCGCAAAACTGTAGACGTCTCCTTTCTGGGTCGCAGTACTTCCTGGAGTTACTGTCAATGGCAGTAATTCTGGCGCTATCCACAGTAACTCTAGAAAATTCACGATTTTTGTCATACTTCGCCCTCTATAGTTAATTTTTTTTATTTGTAATCTCTCCATATTCACGGGATTTTCTTGTACACCCACTTGTATAGTAATTCTCGTCCATGACTAACTCGGAAGGTGTGGTGAGCGTTTTCAGGCCGAAATCCGAAATTTTCAAGACGAACCGCCCATCGATTAAGCAATTGCACGACCGTAATTTCCCGTGTGCCGAGACTTCACTCGCGTGCAGATATGCCATCCCCTGTAGAAAGATAAACAATTTAAGGTGATGTGAAAAAAATGGCATCGAAGAGGTTTTGTTTATAAAACTTTTCTTCCAATTCGGTTTACCGAATAGTTTGAAACTTTACAACATGAATAGGGAGACTATAAGGAAGGTCCTGAAACTCATGAAATTTCACTTCTTTTCAAATATGTTTATAAGTATTTTAAAAATAGTTTATAAAAATGAAATTTCGCGAGTTTCAGGACCTACCTTATGGTCTCCATATTCAGGTTTTAAAGTATGAAACGATTTGAGATACCCAGTTTGGAGAAAAGTTTTATGAACGATTGAACTTTCGGATGCCACTTTCACATCCCCTTAACGTGATGTGAAAGTGGCGTAGAAGAGGTATTGTTTATATAACTTTTCTCCCAACTCGGTTTACCGAATAGTTTGAAACTTAAAACATGAATAGGGAGACTATAAGGAAAGTCCTGGAACTCATAAAATTCCAATTCTTTTCAAATTTGTTCATAGGTATTTTAATAATAGTTTGAAAAAAAAATGTAATTTCGCGAGTTTCAGACCTACCTTAGGGTCTCCATATTCAGGTTTTAAAGTATGAAACGATTTGAGACACTCAGTTCGTGGAAAAGTTTTATTTTATTCTAATTAATTATAGTCGTGTCTCTAATTGTTGGATTCCGTTCTACCTTGACTATGTCGTGGATTAAAGACATTCGGAAATTCCAGTCTAATTTAATCGCCTCGTTTTCCAGCACGTCCTTTAGGGATCCTTTGGGGCAATATTCCGTGAGAATGAGAACTGTCGGCGACGGCGTGCAAAGGCATGCCCCAATAAATCTTAAAAAATAATTTGTACGATTATCTCTCCTAGAAAAGATCGGATTTATCGAGCTTTGACTTATTCCTCATTTTAATCACCTCACGGTGTTCTCCGAAGTGATGTCCCTGACTTGTTTGATCTCCCACAATAATTTCTTCGTGACGTCCACCACCTTCTTCTTCGTAATCTTCTTAATGGCGACCCTCTCACCTTTGTAAATCCCAATTGTTGTAAACACCGTAGTGGGAGGTGAAGATCCACAGCTCGCTTGCGACCCTCTGCGCATTCTTTGCTCCAAGCCACAATTCTGGAAAGGAATATAAATATTACTTGAAAAAATATATATTTAACATCTCTTCGAGCTAAGAATTTACATTCACATCCGACATTGCTTGATGAAGGTTTATCTTCGAGGAGAACGGTTTGCCGACTTCCAGGAGGAGCTCTTCCGGTCTGATACGCCAAGACATGTTGTTCAAATCCGCGGAGAGTCTCAAATGCCTGGAGAAAAGGTCGATATAATTATTTAATAGCAAATAAAAATTGTACCAATATCCTCCTCTTGCCTGTATAGGACGCAGGATGCGGCAGCAGTGGCCAGGAAAAATACAGCGAATGCCAGACTGGAGTAAGCAACGAAAGTGTAGGCTTCCGACCTCGAAGAGCATGCCGGATCGTTTCCCAAGAACCCACATTCGGGAACATCCGGTGGAGGGCCTTCTCGACCTCCAGGCCAGTGGATCTTCTTCCCTGGCACAGGACTGTATTCCCTATTCAGCCCTAAATAATGAGCCACCACCTCGAACCTGCCCGTGATGGGGTCCAGATCCAGGATGCTATAATCGGCATCTCGATCCCCGTTATCGTCGATCCTGACGTGTCCAGTAATTCCGATGAAATCTCGGTCCCACATCCTCCTGGTAATGGCGATGCCGTCCCTTATGTCGCCACCCTCCGTCAGGGTCTCGTTCAGGGCGATCCCCAGCAAATAGACTCCGTCGTAAAAGGCTCCAACAAAGAAGTTCACCTATTCAAGAACAAAGTAGAAGATCCCCATTCATAGGAACCCCGCTCTGCTTGGTGGCCTTCTTCTAATTACACATAAATCTCGGCCTGTGTCCAATAACCTGGACATGTTTAAGGTGAAGTGAAACACGTCGAGGAACTTGAACAACGTCGATAAAGACGATTTTTCTAAATGCCTACGTTTCCAATGTTGGTTTTTATATTGACAGCTGGGTCGAATTATATTGTGTATTGTACCAAATGGCATACTCCACCTGTCGTTTTCGTACAATAATTATGAAGAAATCGAAGTAAAACTCCAGAAATCCCCCGAATTCTTGCTTTCTGAGGCCCTAATTGACTGCGGAGGGACCCCCTGCCTCCATCTGTGATTTCCAAATCAATTAAATTTTCACTCCAAGACCTCGTATTCCCATCGTTTTAGCAAAGAAGCGCATACAACACTTTTTTTGCCTTTATCCCGTTCAAATGCGAGTTTATCAATTACCAGAGTGTTTTAAATTGTCGTAAAATTGTCCTGACCCTTTCGATTCTCATATCAGAGCCTTCGATAATTGAATATCGATCGAAATATCAGAGCTCGACGCCATTTTGGTCCTGGTCTGGACTGAGTTAAAATATTTGTTTGAAAGATCCAAATTTTTAATGTGTCAGGACAATTCTTAGCTGATCAGGAGTGATGTGTCAAAGTTTTGGACAATTTGGCCTAATACCCTTAAGAAAAGGTGTTGTATTCGAGACGACTGATTTAAAGGATGTTTCACTTCACCTTAAGTGGAATTAATGTACCTCGTAAAACAACCCTCACCTCTTCGCCCTCGGAAAACGTGTAATTGTAGTCGGTTTGGGCTCGCAGTCTGACATCGTCCGCGAAATCCTGGAACCTAGGGCTCGTAGGCTGTAGAAGGGAGACCCTTAAGAGAGCTTCGTACGCTTTCCTAGCAACCGCGTCCTCTTCGTCCCCGACCTCCCAGTCGTGGTCCCCCCAATAAGAGCCCTGAAGAGATCATGAATTAATGGACCTGACTAATTGCGTTTAATCGCGTTTAATTGCATTTCTTATAGATAAAACATGGAAGCAATTGCCTGGAAGATCTCGACGTCGAGGAAGGCCCAGTTGCCCCTGGTCATCCCCAGAGCATGAGCCGCTAGCATGAACCTTCTGACGAGGGTCCCTCGGACGCTCAAAATCACCACTGAATTATCCAGGTATGAAGAATTTTATTCTTTGTGGAAAGGGAATTGTTTCGATCATCTTCACCTCTCACCTCTGGCGTACATGCTCGCGTCCCTCAGGTACAGGTGGTAAGGCTCCTCCTCGGAGTTACCGTCGAGTTCCCTGACGAATTTCAGCAGGCCTTCCTTTCTCAAGCCGTATTCCAGATTTTTTCCGACCGTCAGGGAGAAGAGGTCGGATCTGTCCAGGATGAGCGCCACGTGGGACCAGCCAAACTCCTTGAAGACGCTGGAGAAGACCAGTCTCAGACGACACTGGCAATACGACATCCTCGTCAAGGTCGGGTACTTGCTTTTATCCTTGAAGATGCCCTGTAAGAAGTGTCTTCATTAGCTGGGAATTAATTATTAAATTATCCAGCGGGACGACGCGCGACCCGATGCCCGGAATCGTCTTCTTCTTTAACGAATACCGCCCTTTTAATTGGACGGCACTTTTTACCACGGGTACTGGAGCGCTAATGAACATTTGCCTGCTTAATTAGGCATTACGTCAACCTCGGTCAAGGACGTAACGCGAGATCATGTATGAGAACTCTCCTGCATTTTTACAGGGCGTAGGATGTCGAGAAAGGAAAAGTACCAGAAGGTTAGTTAAAGGATATTTGCAATTTTTAAGGTGAAGTGAAACACGTCGAGGAACTTGATCGACGTCGATAAAGAAGATTTTTCTAAATGCCTACCTTGCTGACGTTCGTTTTTATATTGACAACTGAGTCGAATTATATTGGGTATTGTCCTAAATGGCATACTCCACCTGTCGTTTTCGTACAATAATTATAAAGAAATCGAAGTAAAACTCCAGAAATCCTCTGGATTCATGCTTTCTGGGGCCCTAACCGACTGCAGACGGACCCCCTGCGCCATCTGTGATTACCAGGTCAATTAAATTTTCACTCCGAGACCTCGTATTTCCATCGTTTTGGCATAGAAGAGCATACAACACTTTTTTTGCCTGTATACCGTTCAAATGCGAGTTTATCGACTACCAGAGTGTTCTACATTGTCGTAAAATTGTCCTGACCCTTTCGATTCTCATATCAGAGCCTTCGATAATTGTACATTGATCGAAATATGAGAGCTCGACGCCATTTTGGTTCTGGTCTGGGGTAAGTTCAAGTATTTTTTCCAAAAGTCCAAATTTTGAATGTGTCAGGACAATTCTTAGATAATCACGGGCCACGTGTCAAAGTTTCGGACAGTTCGGTCCAATACCCTTAATAAAAAGTGTCGTATTCGAATCGATTGATTTGTAGGGGGTTTCACTTCACCTTAATCTGTTAAAATGTTCAACAACTAACCGATGACTCGTTCCTCCACTTGTGAAGTCTTCCGAGGATGCCGGACGTCACGGATAGTTCTCCCTCCGAGGGAGGCTTTGGCATTGGACAGGAATTAATCCTCAGGTTAAGGTACCCCTTTAATCGTCATTTATTAATTTTTATGTACTTCCGGTCATTTCATATTACCTGGTCTCCCATTCCAGTAATTATGGGACTGTTCCAATATGCTGCCAGTCTTGCAACAGGTTCCAATGCAAAAGCGCAGGCGGGACCGATAAAGGCGATAACGTTGTCGCGAAAATGCATGTCCGCTGCCAACCCTGGAGCTCTGGCGCCACTACAGGACGGGTAGCTGATGGAAAAAATCAATTTCAATCGCAATAATCAAATATCAAGGAGGTACCAAAAATGGCAGACGGGATCTGGCACTTGCCTTCTCCGGTCGATCAATTAAGACATCCCGGAATTCTAATTCACGCACCGGTCGAGCTCACGGTGGCACGATTGCAATTTCCTAAATAAACAAGGAACATTTCCTTGTTCAAACAGAAAGTTCGGATGATCCCCAGGGTGAAGGGCGAGTCACGCAAGCTCGGCGATAAAAAAAAGAACCAGGCCTGTCAAAATCAGCTGATCGACTCGAGGTGAGCGATCGCGGCTCAATATTTCCTCAAATATTTGCCAGTAAATCGAGATCGATTGGAATTAGAATTTCCTTGCTTTTTCTAAACTTAGAAACCATCTTTTAGGAGCGATGCTTTAAGGACTGTAAGATTTATTTTTATTTATATTAATTTATTCGATGTTGCAGTGCCGACAGCAATTACGTGTTTTTCGGGAATCGGATAATGCGCAGGGTGAAGGGCGAGTTACCCAAGCTCGGCGATAAAAAAAAGAACCAGACCTGTCAAAATCAGCTGGTCGACTCGAGGTGAGTGATCGCGGTTCAATATTTCCTCAAATATTTGCCAGTAAATCAAGATCGATTCGAATTAGAATGTCCTTGCTTTTTCTAAACTTAGAAACCATCTTTTAAGAGCGATGCTTTAAGGACTGTAAAATTGATTTTAATTTATTTTAATTAATTTTAATTTATTCGACGTTGCAGTGCCAACAGCAATTACGCGATTTTCGGGAATCGGATAATTCGCAGGGTGAAGGGCGAGTTACCCAAGCTCGGCGATAAAAAAAAGAACCAGGCCTGTAAAAATCAGCTGATCGACTCGAGATGAGCGATCGTGGTTCAATATTTCCTCAAATATTTGCCAGTAAATCGAGATCGATTGGAATTAGAATTTCCTTGCTGTTTCTAAACTTAGAAACCATCTTTTAAGAGCGATGCTTTAAGGACTGTCAAATTTATTTTAATTTATTTTAATTAATTTTAATTTATTCGACGTTGCAGTGCCAACAGCAGTTACGCGCATTTCGGGAAATGAAGAAGAGCAATGGCATGGTCGTATCGAGCGGAGTGTAAGTAACAATTTGATACGTGTGGTCAGGGGCTAATTTGCCCCCAGAATGGACAAAGGGCAGTGATTGGACACTTGTCATAGATACATGAGGCACCCCTTTCAGCGATTCCCGCTTTCCGCGGGCATGGAATTGCTTATAGAATTGAGTACTGCAGAGTCGCGTGTACTCGCGCGCATGTGAATGCAGGGCAATTAGTGCACATTGCGCGCCCTGCATCGGGACTGAATATTCTAACAAGATGCTAATGACGTTCGTGCCCCGACAAGATATTCGAGCCATTTCCACAAGTCACCTCTTCAATCCGAAGTATCGCAGAAAATGTCCTGCGTTGCAAAACCGAATCAATGGAATAATCAATTATTAATCCATAGACTTCCCTGCGACTAATGTCGGTACCCTTATTAAGGGGATGTGAAAGTGGCATCCGAAAGCTCAATCGTTCATAAAACTTTCCTCCGAACTGGGTGTCTCAAATCGTTTCATACTTTAAAACCTGAATACGGAGACCCTAAGGTAGGTCCTGAAACTCGCGAAATTTCATTTTTTACAAACTATTTTTAAAATACCCGTGAACAAATTTGAAAATAATTGAAATTTCATGAGTTTCAGGACCTTCCTTATAGTCTCCCTATTCACGTTGTAAAGTTTCAAACTATTCGGTAAACCGAGTTGGGAGAAAAGTTATATAAACAATACCTCTTCTACGCCACTTTCACATCACGTTAAGGGGATGTGAAAGTGGCATCCGAAAGCTCAATCGTTCATAAAACTTTCCTCCGAACTGGGTGTCTCAAATCGTTTCATACTTTAAAACCTGAATACGGAGACCCTAAGGTAGGTCCTGAAACTCGCGAAATTACATTTCTTTCATACTATTTTTAAAATACGTATAAACAAATTTTAAAAGAATTGAAATTTCATGAGTTTCAGGACCTTCCTTATAGTCTTCCTATTCACGTTGTAGTTTCAAGCTATTCGGTAAATCGAGTTGGAAGAAAAGTTATATAAACAAAACCTCTTCGACGTCACTTTCACATCACCTTAAGAAACTCGGTAGAGTTTCGCACTAAATACATAATTATAAGCGGTTAAATTGTCATTTGGGGTATGTTAACTGTGTATCTCGTGGGAAAAATTAGGAGATAATTAATTCGCGAATAATTGAACACGCCAGAAATAACGTGACGAGGCTCGACTGGTCCTTTGTAAACGTTTAGAAATAAGAACATTTGTTCGCCCTTTATTTCTGCCTAGATGGCTCGTAACTCTTTTATTGGATGTTAAAGGCGGGATATCGATCTTGTCGCAGGGTACATCGAGTCTTGATTGAAACCTGACACCTGTATTTATTTTGGCATCGATTTTGACTCGTGGAAGGATCAGGGGCAATTAGCCTGATCGAAAATTTCGACATCCACGTCGCGATTGAAATTTTTCATGGGAGGTATTTCCTCTCGTCTCCGCGTTTTTCTTCACATCTTTCGCAGTATCTTCTCGAGGAAGACCTATTCCGTTTCCTTTTCCTTTCATTCCTTCGCGAGAAAGACTCCTTTATTCCCATGGTGCACGGGCCAATCAAAATGCAAAGTGATTCAGGAGAATTTCGCCCTTCCCTTCACAGATCTTTGAAAAGACTGATCGGAAATACAAATCACAGGTCACCGGAGGCGAGTCCTTTGAGTCGCCATTCATACTTTATGCTGCATCGAAATCGCTACTTTGACTCGAAAAAAAAGAAATAAGAATGAGAAATAAAAATAAGATTCATCTCCAGCGCTCCGGAGGCTGGAAGGGAAGAAAGGGGGCATTTTTTCTTCACGCCGGAAAGATATGTGCCCATAATTATGAAAGTGGTCTAAGACATATATTTTTTGTTTCGAAATTACATTGAATTAATTTCGTTTTAAATAATATGGCGTGAAATAACTGATAAACTCATTTTTTTTTATATTTTGACTTAGACCATTTTCATAATTATGGGCACATATCTCTTCAAGGTGGGAAATCGTACGCGAACCTGGGGACGTGCAACCGAGGAAGCGCTTCTCAGGAAAAGTCTTCACCCTTTTATTCTTACGGATCCGTGAAAGGGTCACGTATAATAAAAGTACAATGATGTGCATTCGGATTTACAGCGTACGAAATATCAATTTTCATCGTTGTTTCTCAGTAATTTATGCAAGGGGCCCGACAAGTTCGGTACTGCGGTTAGCAACCCTTTAAATTGTTCAGAATAAAGATTAGTCACTTATAGAATCGAGTGGAGGCCATAAAGTGAGGAAAATGATAGACCATGAAAGTATTACACCAGCATACATCGTTAGATATTTTTGAAAGTTTATTTACTGATATTTTCATATAACATATTAACAATTCAAAGTTATAGGAACGGTTTTTAATCGAGTTGTATTTGTACTCGTCTTTCGGTAACTGATTTCACTACTTTAAAAGGCCATCGGTACACCGGTCAAATTGTTCTAAACTTGTCCGCAACAGTCGATTTCATAACTTTAGTAGGTTGAACATGAAAAATAATTCTTTGGTCTTTTTTTTGTAAAAATTAAGTGATTACTACTGCTACTTCAGAAGGTTTGGTCTACTTTTTTTTTTAATTAATAATAAGATAGTGGCTACTGATTCTTTGTAGGAATGTTCGTAGTGATTCCAGAAGGTGAAATGACATCAGGCAATGAACTTGATTTTTCTTTTACACCAAAGGTGTTTTTGGTGGGATTCTTACGGATCCGTGAAAGGGTGGTATAAAACACAAAGGATCAGCCTTTCGCCGATACGTCCCTAAACCTAATCTGGCCCCGTAAATCGGGCTCCGTGTTACGGACCGCCGAAACGTCAAAGTCAGCTGTTTGCGATTTCAGCCCGCAGCGCCAGGGATTAATATTAATATTAATGAAACGCCGGCTGCTTGGCCGACCCCTCGGCCGATAGATTATTATCGATCATCGGGAACTTCCGAGGGGATATCGCTTCGGGATTACAACTTACCTGCCCTGAACTTTATGAAGTTGGACGTTGTGCACCGCCAGGAACTCGTTAACTTCGGCAAGAGCAAGATCCACGGCTGGTCCACATCTTTCCAGGTCGAAAGGACTGTCCAAGTGCGATGCCATCAACACCCCCACGTTGTAAACTCTCATATGAGTCTCGTATGCTGATTGAAAAAAGAAATCATTAACTAAGAATACCGATCTTTACGCGAGTTAAACTACGAGAGAGACTTAGACGCCCTTCGAATTAGAACGAGTTGATTTTTTAATGAATTTTGTTCTTCATTTTTCTAGGAGCGAAGTACAAAGCGGAGGGGAAAATAAAATCGCAATTCCTGCAGGTGGATGTCCGTGGAAAATGTTTTAAGTATGGACTGCTTACTAGTAAATGGGACATCCCCTCATAAGGGATGAAATGTGCCGAGAGTTGACAGAGTAATTTATAAACATGAAAGATAACAGACTGCTGACCAAAGGGTGAGTAGGTCCTCTTCGAGTTTTCTCTGAATTTCGAGGTGAACAGGTGACCCAGTGGGGAATTCATTCCGACGTCGGCATTAATATTGTATGACAAATAAAATAGAGACGAGGGAATTTATTTCCTACTTGGGAGGATAAAATTGCGAGAGGATGATCCCTTGTCTCCTTATTAACACATTCGCGACCGGCAAATTTTCTTCCGTTTCAAATACTGAGTACCGGCGAAAATAATGAGTCTGAAACTGATTGCCGCAAACTTGTATCGTGTATCGTTATGGACGTGATTCACGTCAGCGGCAATCAGGAATAGAATTTAAAATGACGTGAATTCACGTCAGCGGCAACCAGGAATAGAACTTGAAAGGACGTGAATTCACGTCAGTAGTTGCGAATGTGATAACACATTCGCGACCGGCAAATGATTTCCGTTTCAAATACCGAGTACCGGCGAAAATAATGAAATTCTGAAACTGGTTGCCGCAGACTTGTATCGTGTATCGTTATGGACGTGATTCACGTCAGCGGCAACCAGGAATAGAACTTGAAAAGACGTAAAATTCACGTCAGTGGTTGCGAATGTGATAACACATTCGTGACCGGCAAATTATTTCCGATTCAAATACCGAGTACCGGCGAAAATAATGAAATTCTGAAACTGGTTGCCGCAAACTTGTATCGTGTATCGTTATGGACGTGATTCACGTCAGCGGCAATCAGGAATAGAATTTAAAATGACGTGAATTCACGTCAGCGGCAACCAGGAATAGAACTTGAAAAGACGTGAATTCACGTCAGCGGTCGCGAATGAGCTAAAAAGTATTTCCTTCTCGCAACTCGGCTCCGTTCGATGTTAGGTAAATAATCTTCCCTGCCTTCGTTGTCAGTTCTTTTAGCATTTCATTTCGTAAATTAATCGCGCTTTCTAAAGTGTCCGGAATTTCGGTGATTCACGTCGTAGTCCCGAATTTCCAGATTCGGGGAGTCGAAGGACACGTCGCCTCTACGCATCCCATTAGTCGGGAGAAATTGTACAGAAATCTGTTATTATATTTGTAGGCACAACTAGCCACTACAAAGTGAGGGTAGAAGTAGGGAATATGATAATTCGACGTTTCACACGGCTCGCCGAATGAGCAGTGAAACGCTCGCGTCACTACCTGGACGCACTTGCCGACACATGTATACATAAAGAAGACATTAATTCATGCAAAATCACCTGCCAAGGGAAGTTTACACATAAATTTAGTCTCTAAAATTCGAAAATAGTGGCAGACAAATTTTGTATCTCCCCCCAATTGCATTAAAACGCTTCCTTCGACATAGCGGCGCTCTCTTCTTAAACGTCAAAACGCACGTGGAGTGCATCAGCTGTCAAAACCGGAAGATAATTCGAGATCGACAACTTATCTCTCTTACTCGCTATTTCCACGTTACTTTTTACTTTACACGAAAATAGTGGCAGATAAATTTTGTATCTCCCCCCAATTGCATTAAAACGCTTCCTTCGACATAGCGGCGCTTTCCTCTTAAACGTCAAAACGCACGTGGAGTGCATCAGCTGTCAAAAACCGGAAGATAATTCGAGATCGACAACTCATCTCTCTTACTCGCTATTTCCACGTTACTTTTTACTTACACAGAATCACGACAATCGTGCAAACGTTAACACAGGAGGAGAGGTGAACTTTCGCCGAGTGACGAGCGACTTGAGGAACGGAACTAAAAATTAATCATTTCTACGTGAGCAAAAGAAAAAGGCAAACGATGTGGAACGCGTTACAATTAATGCACTCTCACCTGACGTCGCGTGCTTAAAGAGATCGACTTTGTACGCGGCCACAGCGAGCAACAGGGTCGCCGCAGTGGACCACATTTTTATTTCTTCTCACTTTTCAAGAGAAACTGCCCGAATGAAATTCCAGGATTTTTCCTCGGCACGCTGAATGATCGTATCACCGAATTTTAGGATCAAGGTACCGAGGTCATGGTGGAAAAAGCACCGCTTATCGTTTCGAACCGAGCAGCGGAATGGGTCTGGAGTTGCGCGCGGCAAGATACACCCTTATATAGGGGGTTGCTCCAGCACGTTCAGGAACGAGCCGAGGGTGTTGGAACGCCGAGAATCCTTCAAATTGCCTCGGATCCTCGAAAAAATTTAGCAAACATCGAAAAATTACCCGCAAGACGGAACTAGGATCCCTGAAAATGTTCATTTAATTATTCCACGGTAAAGAATGAAGGCGGAATGATTTAATGTATTTTCCTTTTCAATAAAAAATGTAATAATTAGATATTTAGCGACACTCGAGCGATCTCGACGTGTTAGGGTGGACGATAGGAATGATGCATAAAAATAGAAAATGGCACCACTCGCTACGTTTATTAGACGATTAACGAACGAGATTCAGGACTCGAAAAAATTCAGCAAACATCGAGAAACTACCCGCAAGACGGAACCAGGATCCCTGAAAATGTTCATTTAATTATTCCACGGTAAACAATGAAGGCGGAATGATTTAATGTATTTTCCTTTTCAATAAAAAATGTAATAATCTGATATTTAGCGACACTCGAGCGATTCCGACGTGTTGGGGTGGACGATAGGAATGATGCATCAAAATAGAAAATGGCACCACTCGCTACGTTTATTAGACGATTAACGAACGAGATTCAGGACTCGAAAAAATTCAGAAAACATCGAAAAACTACCCACAAGACGGAACCAGGATCCCTGAAAATGTTCATTTAATTATTCCATGGTAAAGAATGAAGGCGGAATGATTTAATGTATTTTCCTTTTCAATAAAAAATGTAATAATTAGATATTTAGCGACACTCGAGCGATCTCGACGTGTTAGGGTGGACGATAGGAATGATGCATAAAAATAGAAAATGGCACCACTCGCTACGTTTATTAGACGATTAACGAACGAGATTCAGGACTCGAAAAAATTCAGAAAACATCGAAAAACTACCCACAAGACGGAACCAGGATCCCTGAAAATGTTCATTTAATTATTCCATGGTAAAGAATGAAGGCGGAATGATTTAATGTATTTTCCTTTTCAATAAAAAATGTAATAATTAGATATTTAGCGACACTCGAGCGATCTCGACGTGTTAGGGTGGACGATAGGAATGATGCATAAAAATAGAAAATGGCACCACTCGCTACGTTTATTAGACGATTAACGAACGAGATTCAGGACTCGAAAAAATTCAGCAAACATCGAGAAACTACCCGCAAGACGGAACCAGGATCCCTGAAAATGTTCATTTAATTATTCCACGGTAAACAATGAAGGCGGAATGATTTAATGTATTTTCCTTTTCAATAAAAAATGTAATAATCTGATATTTAGCGACACTCGAGCGATTCCGACGTGTTGGGGTGGACGATAGGAATGATGCATCAAAATAGAAAATGGCACCACTCGCTACGTTTATTAGACGATTAACGAACGAGATTCAGGACTCGAAAAAATTCAGAAAACATCGAAAAACTACCCACAAGACGGAACCAGGATCCCTGAAAATGTTCATTTAATTATTCCATGGTAAAGAATGAAGGCGGAATGATTTAATGTATTTTCCTTTTCAATAAAAAATGTAATAATTAGATATTTAGCGACACTCGAGCGATCTCGACGTGTTGGGGTGGACGATAGGAATGATGCATAAAAATAAAAAATGGTACCACTCGCTACGTTTATTAGACGATTAAGGTGAAGTGAAACACGTCGAGGAACTTGATCGACGTAGATAAAGAAGATTTTTCTAAATGCCTCTGTTGCCGACGTTCATTTTTCTATTGATAGCTGGGTCGAATTATATCGCGTATTGTACCAAATGGCATACTCCACCTATCGTTTTTGTACAATAATTATAAAGAAATCGAAGTAAAACTTCAGAAATCCTCTGGATTCATGCTTTCTGGAGCCTTAATTGATTGCAGAGGGACCCCCTGCGCCATCTGTGATTTACAGGTCAATTAAATTTTCACTCCGAGACCTCGTAATACCATCGTTTTAGCATAGAAGCGCATAAAACACTTTTTTTGCCTTTATTCCGTTCAAATGCGAGTTTATCGACTACCAGAATGTTCTTAATTGACATAAAATTGTTCTGACCCTTTCGATTCTCATATCAGAGCCTTCGATAATTGTATATTGATCGAAATATGAGAGCTCGACGCCATTTTGGTTCTGGTCTAGACTGAGTTAAAAAATTTTTTTCAAAAATCCAAATTTTGAATGTGTCAGGGCAATTCTTTGATGATCGGGGTGACGTGTCAAAGTTTCGGACAGTTTGGTCTAATACCCTTAAAAAAAAGTATTGTATTCGAATCGACTGATTTAATGTATTTTCCTGTTCAATAGAAAATGTAATAATCTGACATTTAGCGACACTCAAGCGATCTCGATGTGTAGGGGTGGTCGCTAGGAATGATGCATAAAAATAGAAAATGGCACCACTCGCTGCGTTTCTTAGACGATTAAAAACAGCCTCGAAGAGTCTCTGTGCGCGTTCAAAGACTCGAACGACGATTCGGGTCTATATTAGGACGGTGGGGCGAGATTTCGCACTTTTGTCTCGACGAATCCGATTCACTGAGGACGAGCACTCTATGAATCGAACGTAATTTTCCTCTTGTTTACTCCTCTACCTACCGGGAAGGCTACTCTTGACAGCGTTTCGTCATTACGCCTCTCGGTCATACTTCGCACCTTGACAGTGAATCACTGAAAGATTTACTGGTAATCCGATTTCTCTAGAAATGTTCAACCAGTTCACGGGATTTTCGGCGTGAATTCTTGAAGCGTTAAATATATCAGAATTTCTACGTTTCATAAGATTGATTTTCGGGGCTTGAAATGGTCTCCGACTCGTCGATGAAATCCGTCAGTGACTCCTTTCGAGGATATTTCCCCGGCAGGTTGAGTCGCTTTAATAATCCATCGCAGATGCTGAAACACGGAGGGATACTTAAATGGAACACGTATGAGAAGGGTGGAGGGTAAATCGTACAACAGGGTTTTAGCTACCCTAGTAGCATAGAATAATTTCTAAATATTTATTCCAATCTTCGCTACATATCTCAAGCGACAGATTTTTCAAGATGGCTCGTAGATTTCATTTGAAGATATATAAAATATTTCTTGAAAATCTCAATGACACATTTAGNAAATATGTAGAAAATATAGGAGAAATATTTTGTGCTACTAGGGTATACCTCGACAGTTCCGCGTTCTCTTGATTTCTTCGATCCAGCTGTTCGGATAATGAACGGGCATTCATTTCAGCTTCATTCACAGCTGCTCGTAACTTGGAGCCCTCCAGGGAATATTTCCTCTCGATGAGGTCCAACTGGGCGTTCGCACTAAAATCGCATTTTCTCGTGATACGATAGAGATGAAAGAAAAAAAAAATGTTTTAATTTAATCTCTTAACCAATCGGACTAACTAATTCAATCTCTCGATGGCGTGCTCTTTTAACTCGAGGAACTGATTGTGCTTCTGCCTGATGCATTCTTGATGTTCGGTTAGGCTTTGTTTCAGAATGCCGATATTTTTCTGCAGCACCTGAATGGTACTCTTCGCTCTCTCGTACTTCCTGTAATTTCGGATTTATGCGATTAATTCAATAAACTCCGCGATTACCCTAGTAAGATAGAATAATTTCTAAATGCTTCTTTGCAATCTTTGCTAAATATCTCAAGCGACAGATTTCTTAAGAGTTCTTGTAGATTTCCTTCGAAGACATTTGANAACGTTTTGCAAACATTTCAAATGTCTGCTAAATATTTACAAAATGTACGATATTCGTTAAATATATAGAAAATATAGGAGAAATATTTTGTGCTACTAGGGTAGCATTTCAGGGTTCGCGATTAATCTGCCACTTTTTACTCGTGCACGTCGTTAAAAGATATCTCTAGGTTGCCCAGGTGTTTCGAGATGACTTCGAGGTGTTCCTGCAGACTTCTGCACTCTTCCTCTCTGTTCTCTTTCTCTGACTTCAAGATCTCGATCTCCTTGTTCCTCTCGGAGAGCCATTCGTTGGTCCTTTTCTCGTATTCCTTCATAAGTGTCCTGGAACGGTATGAAGAACGATGAACGGTTCATCCCCACTGAACACCAAACCTAACAGTTACGTAACTTAAGGTGAAGTGAAACATCCTTCAAATCAGTCGATTCGAATACAATACTTTTTTTTAATGGTATTAGACCAAACTGTCACCTTAAGGTGAAGTGAAACACGTCGAGGAACTTGATCGACGTCGATAAAGGAGATTTTTCTAAATGCCTACGTTGCCGACGTTCGTTTTTCTATTGACAGCTGGATCGAATTGTATTGCGTATTGTACAAAATGGCATACTCCACCTGTCGTTTTCGTACAATAATTGTAAAGAAATCGAAGTAAAACTCCAGAAATCCTCTGGATTCATGCCTTCTGGGCCCTAATTGACTGCGGAGGGACCCTCTGCGCCATCTGTGATTTCCATGTCAATTAAATTTTCACTCCGAGACCTCGTATTACCATCGTTTCGGCATAGAAGCGCATACAACACTTTTTTTGCCTTTATCCCGTTCAAATGCGAGTTTATCGACTACCAGAGTGTTCTAAATTGTCGTAAAATTGTCCTGACCCTTTCGATTCTCATATCAGAGCCTTCGATAATCGTATATTGATCAAAATATGAGAACTCGACGCCATTTTGGTTCTGATCTGGACTGAGTTAAAACATTTTTTTAATAGCCTAATACCCTTAAAAAAAAAAGTGTTGTATTCGAATCGATTGATTTGAAGGGGGTTTCACTTCACCTTAAAACTAGCAAATAACATAACATTTGTTACAATGCAGTAACTTAACAGTTATGTAACATGGGGCTAACAGGTTACATAATATTTGTTTCTATCATATCTATATAAATGTGGCATAACTTTGTTACTCTTATCTTACATTATGTTACTGTCCTGATATTACTGTATATATGCAGCACATATTTGCAACAAAACGGAACTACATCGGTGCTAACTATCATCTATTTTATTACATCATTGTCATTGTCATACGTCATCGTCAAATGTCATAAGATTAATACATGTCATATTTTGTTTACTACTTGTATGAAAAAATGTGATTTTAATTCGCACGCGCATACACATTATCAGTAATTCTTTGATAGTCTAATGAAATCATTGTTTTCATTTAAAATCAGATAGTTTATCATTCGCATAATTTCATTTACAGTCTGATTTGTTATATAATACCTAACTATTGCCAAGTGCCACGAAATAATACAAAATAAAACATTGCATTATTTTTTTTCTTATTAAATGTTTGAAAAATTAATATTAATTTAAGGTAACTGAACTTATAACATTAATATAACATGTTACCTTATTGAGTGGGAAATAATAACAAACATCTAACTTCCATGTTACTTTTATGCTACATAAACGTTAGTTTCGATAATGTAACATTTACCTAACAGTTATATTAGAGTGTTCTGTGGGTCGATGCCATAATTATGAATAATATTAACTATGAAAATCTCACATTTGGTGGTTCCTCCCTTCGATTTCCTTGGACAATTTCGCCTCCAATTCGACTATTCGTTGCGCCATTTCTCGCCCGTGTACCTTGCAATATCCACACTTGTCCCTTCCAAAGGACTCCTAATTGTTCAGTCCAAAGTCAGAATATCATTCTCACCGTTCGAGTCCACTTTGACTTTTCCTTGTATTTAACTATCTAGAGAAACGAACGATCGTTCATCCCAGCTGCTACGAGTCCATTTACTCCCCAGGAAAATTAGTGCCTTTAATCACCACGACTTCCCACAACTCGAGTAATCGTTCCCCTCGTAATACCTTAATTAGGAGTCTAATAAACCCGTGGATCTCTAAGCGAATGAAAAATTGCCAAGAATCGCCCTCGTCTTTGAAACCACATCCATACCTTGAAATCTCCGGATCGGTTATCGAAATCGTTAAAAATTCCCAGATCGTGAAATATTTCATCAGGCGTCAGAGCCGATGGACCATTCCCCGGAGTGCCCGATGTCGTTGACATCTTCCCTAAAAGCTATAACAATCTTTTCAAAATAATCCCGTCAAAAATTCTCAACTTGGTTGACAACTAATAAAATAAACGACACTCGATGAATCTGCAATCGGGGAATATTTCATACGCGACTACGATCGAGATTTATCGACGTCGAGAAATATTGTTTATAAAATGCGAATCGCGAAACTGCATCGATTGCATTACCTGCAATTGCACTACCGCAGTCTGGACCATCGCGAGAAAATGCCATTTAATGCGTAGGTCCTTTAAAAGCGTAAACAATAATATTATTCAAATACGCGTCTGTCAATGTTACATGTACAACAGTGGAAACTAAAAATTACACGTGTAAAGGTTCGTGTAAAAGTGACCATCGCAGTTGTAAAATTTAAAAGCGAGGACCCTATCGAAAATAATAAAATATACCGCAGCATCAGTACTTCTTACGAGCAAAAACTGCACGTGGACCTATTAGCAGATACTACCAAAGCGTTGCTAATAAACGACACTCGATGAATCCGCAATCGGGGAATATTTCTCCCGCAACTGCGGTTGAGATTTATCGACGTCGAGAAATATTGTTTATAAAATGCGAATCGCAAAACTGCATCAACTGCATTACCTGCAACTGCACTACGCAGTCTAGACCATCACGAGAAAATGCCATTTAATGCGTAGGCCCTTTAAAAGCGTAAACAATAATATTATTCAAATACGAATTTCAAATACGCATCTGTCAATGTTACATGTACAACAGTGGAAACTAAAAATTACACATGTAGAGGTTCGTGTAAAAGTGACCATCACAGTTGTAAAATTTAAAAGCAAGTATTCTATCAAAAATAATAAAATATACCGCAGCACTAGTACTTCTTACGAGCAAAAACTGCACGTGGACCTATTAACAGATACTACCAAAGCGTGGCTAATAAACGACACTCGATGAATCTGAAATCGGGGAATATTTCATACGCGACTACGGTCGAGATTTATCGACGTCGAGAAATATTGTTTATAAAATGCGAATCGCGAAACTGCATCGATTGCATTACCTGCAATTGCACTACCGCAGTCTAAACCATCACGAGAAAATGCAATTTAATGCGTAGGTCCTTTAAAAGCGTAAACAATAATATTATTCAAATACGCATCTGTCAATATTACATGTACAACGGTGGAAACTAAAAATTACACATGTAAAGGTTCATGTAAAAGTGACCATCACAGTTGTAAAATTTAAAAGCGAGGACCCTATCGAAAATAATAAAATATACCGCAGTACCAGTACTTCTTACGAGCAAAAACTGCACGTGGACCTATTAGCAGTTACTACCAAAGCGTGGCTAATAAACGACACTCGATGAATCCGCAATCGGGGAATATTTCATACGCGACTACGGTCGAGATTTATCGACGTCGAGAAATATTGTTTATAAAATGCGTACCGCGAAATTGGATCAACTGCAATACCTGCAACTGCACTACGCAGTCTAGACCATCACGAGAAAATACCATTTAATGCGTAGATCCTTTAAAAGAGTAAACAATAATATTATTCAAATACGCATCTGTCAATGTTACATGTACAACAGTGGAAACTAAAAATTACACGTGTAAAGGTTCGTGTAAGAGTGACCATCACAGTTGTAAAATTTAAAAGCGAGGACCCTATCAAAAATAATAAAATATACCGCAGCACCAGTACTTCTTACAAGCAAAAACTGCACGTGGACCTATTAGCAGATACTACCAAAGCGTGGCTAATAAACGACACTCGATGAATCCGCAATCGGGGAATATTTCTCCCGCAACTGCGGTCGATTTATCGACGTCGAGAAATATTGTTTATAAAATGCGTACCGCGAAACTGCATCGACTGCAATACCTGCAACTGCACTACGCGGTCTAGACCATCACGAGAAAATGCCATTTAATGCGTAGGCTCTTTAAAAGCGTAAACAATATTATTCAAAATAACATTATTCAAAAACGAATTTCTTGGAGGCTGGTTCGATCGCACGTGGACCTATTAGCAGATACTACCAAAGCGTGGCTAATAAACGACACTCTATAAATCCGCAATCGGGGAATATTTCATACGCGACTACGGTCGAGATTTATCGACGTCGAGAAATATTGTTTATAAAATGCGAACCGCGAAACTGCATCAACTGCATTACCTGCAACTGCACTACGCGGTCTAGACCATCACGAGGAAATGCCATTTGTTGCGTAGGTCCTTTAAAAGCGTAAACAATAATATTATTCAAATACGAATTTCCCGGAGGCTGGTTCGATCGCACGTGGACCTATTGGCAGATACTACCAAAGCGTGGCTAATAAACGACACTCGATGAATCTGCAATCGAGGAATATTTGATACGCGACTACGGTCGAGATTTATCGACGTCGAGAAATATTGTTTATAAAATGCGTACCGTGAAATTGGATCAACTGCATTACCTGCAACTGCACTACGCGGTCTAGACCATCACGAGGAAATACCATTTGATGCGTGGGCCCTTTAAAAGCGTAAACAATAATATTATTTTTCGGATTACGAACGAATTTCCCGGAGGCTGGATCCATCCCACGTGGACCTATTAGTAGATACTACCAAAGCGTGGCGTAGAATAATCGTACGATCTTGTTTACGAGTCAATGCAAACGTCGTTTCAGTGCAATCTATAAAAGAACCAGAACGGGCCGAGTATTCCTCAGTAAACTGGCGAGCTCGTAACCGAGAACAGTGGCTGAAGTATAAATAAATATACAGTACGAAAATCCACCTCAGTGTCCTGAAATCAAATGAACGATCCCTTAATAAAATGGAACCCTAAACTCGTACATATAAATCTCCAAGAACAGTTCCCTCGCTTAATTTTAAGCGAATAAGGACGTGCCGAAAGGTGTTCGCTGAATTAAACCGCGAGAGTGAATTCCCATCGTAAAAAGCGACTAAGGACGTGCCGAAAGGTGTTCGCGAAATTAAATCGCAAGAGTGCCATTCCCATCGTACATACAGATTATCGAAATCAACCGAACGATCACTTGACGCTGAATAAAATGGAATCCTAAACTTGTACATATAAATCTCCAAGTACAGTTCCTTGGTTTAATTTTAACGCGAATAATAATACACGCCGAAAGGTGTTCGCGAAATTAAATCGCAAGAGTGAATTCCCATCGTGAATACAGATTAATATAGCGTTCCGTTATCAAGAGTGCTATCTAGCCTTCGAGTATCTACCTTAAAGTATTTATTCGAGGCTCGGTTGATACTAGCTTAACCGGAGTATATAATAGTATATGCCAGTCAGTGATTCGCTCTGACATTGTTGGAAGTGTGCGAAGTCTAAATTTAAAGCTTCCTCCACACCGGGCCTGCTTCATTCGCTAATAGGCAGAGATCGTTCGAGTCTCTTGGCAGAAGAAATCTCGGAATACAGAGGTATATACTCGGTGTCTGATATAGTAGGAGTAATCAAAGGCTGGGCAATCGTCATCCTCCGAAATAAGGCATCATGTCGCTGAGTAAACGCGTGAGACACTGTCGCAGGTGCATTCCGCTTTCGAGGTGAGTAAGCCCTGCGGATTGCGTTGTTTTAACACTAGGTTTACGGGCGTTTTATATATACCTGTTTCTACGAGCATCCGTCAAATTGACGGGTAAACGAAAACACGCATTTTCTTTAAAAAAATCGATTTATTCAAATTAAGTCTGAATTAAACAACACTAGGCTTTACGTTTAAATGAATGATTAATAAGTAAAAAGTCCTTTTTTAAAAATTATCACGGAAATGATTGGAATGCTCGTCCTCTCATCCTCGGAGTCAGAACTAGAAAGAATGCGCATCCTTTTCTTGCTACGACACCCTTTCAAGAAGTTTTCCTCTTCACTATCCGAACATCCTTCTATCTTTCCACTTTCAGTGCAAACTTTCACTCTCATCTTCGCCTTACACTCTCTGCAACGAAGCAAATATATATGGATTGTTTATGAAATTAGCTAGTCCGTCAATTTGACGGGTTTCGTAGAGATAGGTATACTACATACAGATTTTAATAATTAGAAGGCTTAGGAAAAAATAATTGCGTGTTCAAATTCTTTGGATGAAATGATTAATTTACTATACAAAAATGGTTAAAATTAATGCTATGGTTTTTTCGGTATTTCTTTTCGAAGTTTGAATTCCGTCAAATTGACGGGTCCCGTAAACCTAGTGTTAANAATAATTTAGAAATTTGTTAAACTATTGAAAGGTTGATAATTGGACTATTGAACTACTGAACTATTGAAAGGTTGATAAAAAAATATTTTCCAACTTCTTTCCAATATGCCATGAATATATTATTTGCTGTCTGGGGAGCGACTAGATCCATCCCCTTCCAAGCGGCGATCAGCTGATTTTGACAGCTGCCCTTTCCGATCTCGCGGGGCACCTTTTCTCCTTATCCGGAATTCTTAAAATAAATTCCAAAATGGATGAAATTTGATTTCTGCTCTTGTATATTTTTTACCAGCTGCTAAGTTAGATAATTATGACGCTTTTTCCGAGTAGGAAATAATTTAGAAATTTGTTAAACTATTGAAAGGTTGAAATGTGGCTCAGACCGAGTCCCAGTCAGTTGATTTTGACAGGTGATGCAACTTCTGGGTTTTTAATCGATCTAATTTTCGATGAGTTTCGACGATTCTGCGAAACTTTTGTACGGCTTGTTGCGGGTTTATTATCGCGGTTTCGTGGTATTTAAGTTTCTAGAAAGGACGCAAATATACAGACTTTATATATAGTTATATGTGATCGATTAAGCGATCTAGAGCAATCTAGAGTGCGCTCCGACTCTGTGACGTTCTGATACGAAATTAAGTTTCGTTCCATACAAATTTCTTTCCTTGCTTGGACAATGCTCGGTTTTGTCAGGACATTTGATTGGGTCGTTGGAGAGAGTTGCTTTCGGCTTGTAGGACTTGTTCGTTACTGAATTTGGTTTGTTATTGGAGCAGGAGAGGTTTTGCGTTGGTAGGTTAGGTTATGTCGAATAATGAACCTAATTGTGAGTACATGTCTGTTATTTGTTGATCAGACTGAAAAAGTAACTAATGTTGTGTTGATTTGTTGCAGGCATTTCACGGAAAGCACCGAAAACAGACTTCCTGTTAGAAATGCAGGAACCGTGGCAGAGAAAATGTCGAGTCCGATGAACGGTATGCAGGGAGTGAAAATGTCGATGCAGAATCAGTGGAAATTCTTGACTCAATTGAGGGATTATTTGAATAAGTTTGGATATGACAAGAACCTTCAGTTTGTAGCATCTAAGGAATGGGTGGAATTCTTGCAAAAGGTCGCATATACCCAAGTGGACGGTATTAGAAAGTTTTCATTAGCCAATGTTATTAAGAGCAAAGAACAAAGTATCGCTCAAGATTCGGTTGCACTAAAACAGAGAAAGGAAGAGGTTCAAAATATCATAGAGACATCAAAAGTATTGGAGCCAGAAGAAGCTAAGCAGGTAACTATTTTTCTATAATTAATACCAAGCTAAACATTTGTGTTCACGATTTTTTCAATAAACATTTACCTTGATTTTATTTTAGGAAGCATTTGTGGAAGAAAATGTACCCGTCGCAAGACCGATTACAAAAGAACAGAGTTATACGTTACCACAAGTACTAAGCGATCTAATTCCGAAATTGAACATAAAGAGTAAAGCCACTTTGTCGTCGACACCTAAATGGAAGTCTAACATTCACAGTACCATCTCCAAACATAGCATTGCTTCAAGGACGCGACATGTTTTGAACAGTATTAAAACGGCAGAATCCAATGCATCAAAATGGAGGAGGATAGAAGACCTTTTGTTGCATATCGAACAGTATCCAGAAGCGAGGCATCATGCGATCAAGGAGGGCGCAATTAGTATCTTGTTGAGAATTCGTCAGACTACAAAAGAGGAACAAATCAAAGGTAAATTTTTAATTGTAGTGCAGCTCAAGATAGGTGGCAAAGAGGACATTGAGTTTGTTTATCGCATTTAGTTACAAATAACTATTTCTTAATCTAGAATATTACTAAAGCTTTATTTTATAGGGTCCATCAGAGAGGCTCTCACGATACTAGGACACGTCGATCCATTGCCCGGGCAAGGTATCCGAATTTTATCCATCGATGGCGGTGGTGTACGAGGAGTTTTAGTTGTTGAGATGCTGAAGAAGATAGAAACATTAACTGGAAAAAGAATATATGAATGTTTTGATTATATATGCGGTGTGAGCACTGGAGCCATTCTTTCTGCAATCCTAGGTACTGTACTAACTTGTATTATTTGAAGTTGTAAAAGCCTTAGCTTTTATCATTTATCAACTAGTTCAAAAATATTGTTTTCACACAGCTGTATCTAAGGAAACTGATGATGGTAAAGATTGTATTAATTTGGATACATTTATTTACAAAGAAAAATAGGTCATATTCTTTAGAGTGAAATTTCTTCCAGGCGGTGATAAGAGAAAAACCTTGGATGAGCTCTCAGAATTGTACAAAGAAATTGGTACAAAGATATTCACGCAGAGTCCAATTCGAGGTACTAGCAGCTTAGTATGGAGTCATGCATATTATGATACAGCATTATGGGAAGAATTGTTAAAGGAACAGCTGGGTGATAAAGACCTTATCAAAACTGCGAGGGATTCAAATTCTCCGAAGGTAAGCAGTTAATAATTATCAGGTCAAATAAATGAAGATAAAATCAGTCATTAATAAATAAATTTGTATACAGTTCTCTGTCATCTCAACTGTAGTTAATCATGCACGTGTCATGGCCTACGTCTTTAGAAATTACACTTTGCCGCATGGTATCGAGAGCCAATATATGGGATCATACAGACATAAATTATGGGAAGCTGTTAGAGCTTCCGCTGCTGCACCTAGTTACTTTGAAGAATACAAAAATGGAGAATTCCTTCACCAGGACGGAGGCAAGTATTTAATTAGCTATGTTACTAACGAACATATTTCTGAAAAGCTCTATATTGTAAATATATTATTTCAGGAATAATAGTGAATAATCCATGTGCTGTAGCGATTCACGAAGCCAAGCAACTATGGCCCAACAATCCTATTCAGTGTGTTGTATCATTCGGCACAGGAAGGGCTCCTTCGAACATCAGTGGAACCGATGAGATTGTGAAAGAAGTTCCCGTTCTTTCGAGTTGGAAGGAGAAATTCTTCAAAATTCTTGACAGCGCAACCGACACAGAAGGTATATCACTTTGACTATATATTAAATTTATATACATATACAACCATAATGCGAACTGAAATATTATGTTGTTGCAGCCGTTCATACGATGTTGAATGATCTTTTGCCAGACCATGTATACTTCAGATTTAATCCATACTTAACGGAGATGTTAACAATGGTCGAAATACGACCAGAAAAGATTAAGCAGCTGGAACAAGATGCCAGGATGTATATTCGCAGGAACGAGGAAAAGTTTCAAGACGCCGCAAAATCTCTCTTGAAAGAAAGAACTTTGTTACAGAAGGCAGCAGACTGGGCGAATCTGCAAAAGCAAATTTTTAATCTTTAAGTTTGATTTATTCCGTTGTTTAATCCTATTGCAAAAACAAATTGTATCACTAGATACTTTAATGCAGCATGGCTGCGAAACTTTAATTACTTTGCAGTCAATTTCATATATTTTGTACATAAATCATACTATAGAAAGTTCTTACGTTAGTAAAATATCTCGAAGGACATAGAAATATGTATGCAACATATTTTGTGAGAAATAAGAGTAGCATAGATTTTGCCATTCAATTTGCCAAAGGATAAAGTGAATATCTTTACTTAAAGATAGATCCTTCATTAAAATGTATCGATGTTTTAATTTTTATACCATTGTGTATATTTTCATATTAGTATTATACTGTACGAAATATGATGTATGAGATGTGAAGCTATTAATGTGATATGAGCAATGAGTACTTTTAAAGTTGTTTCCCTAGTGAATTCTTAATAGGTTCTGTGAAAAACATGTACCTGAAAATAATCTATATATATTTGATCTTACGAATAAATAAAATACTTTCTATTATTACACAACGAAAATACAATAGCATGTGATTATGGTCTTTTTTAGGATCCCTGTTATCGAATGAAAAGAAATCTATTAGTTAAATAAATCAATGAAATACTTGCAGTGCTTTTTTTCTCTTTCTACGAGGTTAACCTATATATGGAGTACCCTAAAGTATAACATAAAATATAGAACAGTTTAATGGTAAATATCATTTCCGTCCCAAACACGTTTGAAATTTGCCGCTACAACGGCATTTGAGTAACACGTGCGTCTCTTCTTTCTGTGTCTTTCCAGTTTCCGTTTCCGGTGAGTGCTGTAGCAGAAATTTCGTTCATAAACGATTCAAACTTCGAATCCATTTAATCGTAAATATCGAATACTTTCTTAAGTTGCAAAATAATCCTATGAAATTATAAAACCACAAATGTGTGCAATTATTTATATCTGAATCCCCAGAGAAGCAGTACTATTATTGTAGTCACATAACCTCAAAACCTAAAGCTAATCTTATAAGCTTATTGTTGACGTCTCGATAAAGGAATATTACATGCAATTTTGTCTTAATTTCAGAAACAAATAAAAAATGGCGAAGTCAAAGAATCACACGAATCACAATCAGAGTAAGTCTATGTACTATAAATTACTTTGATTCATACGGTTGTCATTTTGCATACTTTGTTTTGAAACTTTATTTGCCCTGATTTTAAGTAGTTTTTGTTGTCTTTTGCAGACAGGAAGGCCCACCGAAATGGGATTAAGAAGCCTAAGAGGTATCTACACGAATCCACTCTTGGTGTAAGTTTTAAATTGTTTCAGTAAATAGGATAATTTTTATCCGCAGAAATATAAAATATGTATATTTGTACCACCAATAAGATTTAGTAAAAGGTGATGATTATTAACATACATATATCTCATTTTTTTTAGATGGACCTGAAATTTCTACGTAATCAACGATTTGCCAAGAAACATAACCTTAAACCCAAGGCGCAGTTGAAGCGAGCAGCAGAACGAAAGGCTAAGAGGGAAGCCAAGAAATAGACTGTGCATACTTATGTTTTTAACTTAATAAATTGAAAAATCTTGTTCAGTTGTTTGACCAGCAAAGAACCTATCCTGCATTTTCCCTTAGTTCAATTAATTTTTTCAATGTTTTCATTTTAGCAGATATTTATTTGTTGTTTGTATACATAAAAATGTTGAATTATTTAAAAGTGAAATAATAGTAATGCAAGCCGAAATTGTCTATTGCATAATTTATTCACATTAGCCTAATAGATGTCAAAATTGTCAAGGGCAGGAGAAACATGGACGTATATATTCTTACGTCCATGGAAGGAAATTACCATTATACCAATATGGCTGCAAACGATACTCCAGAAAAATTCCCATCAGAGACTGCTTATATCAGCAATATCAATAGCTTGTCTATACCAAAATGTATTTTACTATTCAGTGGAAAGAGGAAATCAGGAAAAGACTACATCACAAATATCTTGCATGAAAGGTAATTATGGAATTGGTAATTTACCATGTAATTACGGTGTAAAATAAATAAATAAATTTTTTATGGTAGAATTGGATCTTCAGAGTGTACAATTATAAAAATCTCAGGCCCGATAAAAAGTCACTGGGCTAAAGCTGCAAATCTGGATTTTGATAAATTACTCGGAGATGGGGAGTACAAAGAGAAATATCGCTTAAAAATGGTTAAGTGGAGTGAAGAGGTTAGAAGGACGGATTATGGCTATTTCTGTCGAGCAGCAATTCAAATGTATAATGGTGACATGACACGTTAATAAGTATTTTAAATCAAGTACTTTCAGATATTGTTTACACGACTCATTTAGTACTCATGATTTAAAAAAATGGCAATAAAAATTAGAAGTATCTAATTTCTAACATCTGACGTTCTGTCTATTTCTAGAAAAAAAAATACCAATTTGGATTGTAAGCGATATTAGAAGAAAAACAGATATACAATGGTTTAATGAAAATTTTGGAGACAAATGTAAAACAATTCGCATCCACGCCAGTGAGAAAGTTAGACAAGAGCGTGGTTACGTCTTCACCCCAGGTATGAAAACTTTGACCCGTTAATAAATTTGAGCTCTGATACAAAACACGTACAATTTTGATTGCAGGTATAGACGATTCAGAGACTGAATGCGACCTGGATGACGTCAACAAATGGGATCTGGATATATTAAATGACGGGAGTGACACAGAAAATATTCTACAGAAAGTTTTACAATTAACTCAGGAAATGTAGCTAATTAAAGTAGGTAGGGATTATCGTTAACCTAATCATTCCATCGAATGAAATGTAGATTTCCATTTATGTCATAAGTTATACAATTTTGTACGTGATGTATAATTATTGTTCTTATAGCACAAAAAAAATATCACCTGAATATACAAAACGACTAGATGTTTCTGCTCGTTTTTTACTGCTATAGTCAGGGTTGGATAAGTATATGTCATGTAATATACATGGTTTTCTACATGTATATTACAACATATAATACATCCCTGGTTTTCTACGAGAGCGCAAAGTACATTACGCCCTTCTCTTTTTGAATAGAAAATAACAAATCCAATTAGAAATTTGATATTAAACAGGGTTAAGTCGAAAGAATTTAAACACAAACGCCAAATTAATTATTTCTTAACAATTTTTACGTGGTTATATGGCGCTAAAAGACGTTAACCACGCGAATACATATATCATACATCTGTCAAATCCGCCATATTGAAAACGTAAAATTCTAAACAATTTTGAATACAAACGCCAAAATAATTCATTGTTCATTAAAATATTCCCGTGTTTACATGTGTGCTAAAAGACGTTTATAACCTAGCAGAAGCCGTATGTCGTCCATCTGCATCATTCTTCATATTGGAAACGTAATTTTCTGGTTTTCTACGATATTCTCCGGTAAACTACTTTGTTACGTGATATCAGAGATGAGTTGGGAGATTGCTCACGGGCGATCGAACCGTGTGCTGCCCTCTGATTTCGTACGTTAGCTTATGCACTTGCCACTTGTTACAAATCTGGGCAGCCGGAGAACCGACTGAAAAAGTGAAGAACTCCTCA